CTCAGTCTTTCACATTGATGTCGAGGAATGATGGGGGGCACTGTTGTGCAAAATATTTTCAATTCAGCCACACTGGAGTATTTCTGGGCTTTGATTAGGCCATTCAAACCCTTGCTGACTTGAACTGTCTCTTTTCCCACAGGGGCAGGTTTTGTTTGAATGACTTGCTTCACGTGATAAAAATGATCATTTTTTAATATTACATTTTGAAGCGCTCAGGTGCAACAAAACGTGAAAACAGAAGGAGTCCTAGAGGACTCTTCGCCTGCCGGGTCCAATAAGGAATCATTGTGAAATGAAAAGTGTGACATTTCTTTGAAAAAATGACAAGCAGATGTTGGATGAAACTGTTTTGTACAAACAAACTGACTACAAAAACAAAGCGAGTCGAAGCTGCAGCACCTTGTTGATGTGTGTGTCGTTCGAATTCAGTGAAGGGGTCGTATAAATATCGACAGATTAATCGTCGATATTTAACACAGACCGCCGGGTTTTTAGAATATTTGTTGGAATAATCTGTGTTCATCGTTCTGTTTGTGTCTTCTTCACAGATGCTGACTGCATTTCATGAAATGTACCGGAGCGCACCCCGTTGTTCAACCCCTGGAGGGCAGCAGGGCTAATTTCTCCTGACTTGTTAAGCGTCGCCTGAAAGGGGCAACCAAGAAAAGCAGAGCCAGCGTTCCCCTCTGCTGGGACACATGCAGACAAACTCTTTCAAATGTTGCTTTGTCTAAATGCTGTGCCAAGTCTCAGAGCCAATCACAAGACTGTTTCCTCTTCGTCTTCTTTTTTTGAAATAACTCACTTTATATATGCACAAAAACTAAACATCAGGTTTTTTGTAAGATAAATGTGTATAAAATAATATTAATGATGATAAATGCTATGTCACATACCTTATTTATGTTGGACCTAATATACAATCCTGCAGATTGAACTTTTTCTAACCGAATCTCAGCAGCTGAGCGTTCGTCATGGAAGCCGCGGAAAACTCCACGGGCTTATCCACCGCCGCCCTGGTGGCCATCGCCTGCAACACGCTGGTTGCCGTCCTCCTCCTCCTGCTCTGCCTGATTGTTTACCGAGCCTGCGGCGTCCCTTCCAGCCCAGAGAGGCTGCCCGTGTTGGCGCCGAGCGAAGCGGAAACCCAGCAGATGAACAAGCACAAGTACCTGCTGACCTCTTGACTGCAGAACGATGAGTCAAATGTCGCCACAAGTGCGAGACTCGACCCCTGCCTCCACAGCGGCGCTGCCTGATGACGTACGAGGAGCGAGTGTGACAGGGAAAAGACTGACCGTCTTCCCTGGCTGATGCGTTCACCCAGCTATCCCTCAACAAACCTGGCCCTTGGTGTGACAGAGCTCACCGCAGAACGACAACGTGAGCGGACAAAACATACCAGTGCCACAACCACAAACATACCAGTGCCACAACCACGTGGTTTTCGAAAACATGTTCTCTAATCTCAAAGTGTGGCAGGAAAGAAGCAAGAACAACAAGACTTGGGAGATTATGTGCAACGTGTGCATGTCGCTATCATCCAAACAGTCCCGGGTAAAATTGGATCAGAACAGGAGAGCTCTGACATCTGCTTCTGGCTGCGACGATGGGCCGCTCGTCCTGGACTGAGTCACGGAGGAAATGATTGGACGAGACCAGAGGGACTCGGTCGATGTTTCCTGCACCGTGGCGAATATATTCGTCCAGCAACACGTACGCACTTTGTCCTGTAACTTTCCATGTCACAAAAGCATGTAGCACTGTTAAAAAACTAAAATATGAACCTTACAGTTCACAATCTTCTGGAGTCTTTCCTGATATCGAGGCTGCACCTATTAAAAATAAACTGATTGAAACACTTTCTGACTTTCTTTTGGATAAAATTGAAGTATTTCCCCAAATGAACCGATAGTTCAGCAATTTTTGAATGTATTTGTTGTTTGTCAGTGATAAATTTAAGATAGTACACCATCTTACGCATTCGTCAGAAACCTTGTGTGAAAAACCTACACGTTTCAAGAAGTTTTATTTTTTGGTGGGTTTCACCAGGTTTAATAAACGGCTTCGCTCTTCCCAGTAAATATTCATAATGGGTAATTATGTCAAAAGGTCGATATAAAATTGACGGTTTGTGTTTTTTATTATGAGAGAATATTAGTTTTCCTGCTTTCACCTTCCTTCCCCTCCCCCCTTTTTTTTTCTTTCAAAAGATTCACATCAGTGAAAATATCGCCCCAAAGAAAAAAGACAAAAAAAAAATAAAAGTCGCTTTGCTTCGACCTCCTGTGCAGACAGGCCAAATTTATGTCATACTTGAACTAGACTAGCAGCTGGGGGCAACACGAAATCATCCAGAGAACCACCAGTGGCTCATGAATCGCACTTTGGGCTCTCCTTATGCAAAGCATTTCCACTCAGTAACCACCTGATAGTACAAAAAACCCTCCAAAACAACAAACTACTTTTATATCAAACACATACTCTGACTGGAAATGCTTCACATGTTCTATTCACAGCATAGGCAAATTTCTGGTAGCTCCTATTCCCAATGTAAACAATCACTGGCGCCAGTAAAATAATCGCCCAATGCAAACTTGACAGAGTTAGAGGGCAAATAAGATTTTAAGTGACTGTAACATTTACACAGAACCTCGCTTCAACGATCTGAACAATCTCTCTAATGTGATTCTTGCAGTTTTTGTGCTTTTAATAACACAGCACGTGTTTCTCATTGATAAAACTAGCGCGAATGAATAAAAGCTGCTTTGTTCACATTTCTGCTGCGTATCTGCAAGAAGGAGTAGAGACATAACAAGCATCTTATTCTTAACGTGTGGATCTGTTAATGAATGAATCCTGCTGGAGGACATGAAGGGCAGAAAGGCTCCCGGTTGGGATCATCGTGGAAACATTACGGCTGAAGGGTCTGGTTACAAAGACGGGGAAGAATTACGAGATAGGCAAAAATAAAGATGTTTCAAAGCAAAGTCTTCCCTGAAGATTGGAGAATAATAATAAAAAAAAAAGCTTCCAGATCACCGCTGGACCGGTGCCCAAGGCGGCGTGTGCGAGCCAAGACGAGCTGTCTGGCTGTGCTCCACGAGTACGAAATCTTCTACGTCGATTTATGTCTCGCAACACCCCACCTTCCTCTGCTTAGTGGATTATTACTGCATGAAGCAATGAATCCCCTGCAGCCTGGTTGCACTGTTTCCAACATGTATAAGCGGTTTGAACGAACAAGGTGTCAGGAACGTCTCGCTGAGATTTTGGCTGATTTTAGTACATGTCAGTATCAAGCGTTTGTGTCCATCCAAGTTGCTCTGCTGGACCGGAGAACAGAAAACTCTGTTGTGTTCAAGAAAAGATGTTCTACAGTAGGAGGGCTGATTGTGGCAGCATGTTCGAGTGACTTTGTTACATTAGTTCTGATTTGTTGTTTCCGTAGACTTTAGCTCATATTTTTGGGGCATTGAATGATTGGAACATTATTTCGTTTGATTTTTGATGCTGGATTTTGTTCTTACTTTTATACTTTCAGACAATTATCACATGTAACCGAGGCAACAAGCTTTTTTGTTTTCTTTTTTCTAAGCAACTGGGAGCAGCTGATTAGCATCTCAATAATACCTGAACTACAACCACAAAACTCAGAGGAACTGAAAAGGAGGCTGGAGGTGGATGAATGGCAGAACCAAAGAGCAGAGAGAGACGGGGGAAGTTCAAACCATCTCTTTCACTGATCATAATGGGCCATGATCAGATCCCAGAATCCAATGTCTTTACGCCAAGCCTTCTAACCACACAGCCACTCAGAGGTTTGTAAAGAAGCAGCAAAAAACCAATGAGGGGGATTAGCAGTGCTCGCCAACCACCGATGGTGTTACCCAGGTCAGGACATGTTACTGTGGAGTATCATCACAGTAACATGTCCTCACTGTTGCAGCCCAGAGAGGCAACAGTGAGGAGCAGCAAGGTGTTAAGACAATCATGAGACTGTTATACAGCCACAGTCGTCAGCCGTAGGCCTCTGAAATTTAAGTAACAGCCAGAAGCAGCAGAATGAAGCAAAGCCTGTCAAATGCAAATTGAAAATCTGTGGAAAAGGAGCAAAAACTTTTGGACAATGTAAAAATACCACCCAACGAGTCTAAGACATTTGTACAGAAGAGCTGAAATTAGCTAAAAAGCTACAGTTAGTTTTTTTTTAACAACAACAAATCCCAACCCAACTAGAGATTCCTATCAACTCTGAATTGTCCTCTGAAATTTACTCAGTCCAGTCTGTTCTCTGTGTTAAACAGTTTTAATATGTTCATTGACAACAAATTACAAGAAAACATGAAAACATTTTCAGGTAAGACAGACTGCAGTCTCAATTAAACAAATATTGAGAAAAACAACAAATGAATCAAATCAGTTGAACTCTGCTTTTCTTGACGTTTTCTGAATGAAACAAAAACACGTCTCAGCTTTTTATGGCAAAACCAAAAAACACATTCTGTGATTTTATGGAGACGCATCAGTGCCAATATTGCTTACGTAACTTGCGAAGAGACGAGTAATAAAGAAGAAACAATAACATTTCCGACAAGTCAATGTTTCCTTGGGGAGTAAAGATTGCATGGCCATTTGCAGGCCTCTAAATGACTTACAACAAGGCTTGTTTCCCTCAGATGCAAATCGGTCTTCTTATTGAGGACTGTTATGAATCTGAAGTCATGCTTTGAGTCAAAATGAGACAGGAATCCTTTTGCAGAAGATTCCAGTTCCCAGAAAATACAGGTGATATAACTGAACACAATACCACACAGTGACAAGCATTCCTCTTACAACTTTCACTGAGGGTACTCAATATCTCAAAAGTATGAAAAGAAAAATATATATGAAGAGCAAAAAAAAAAAGGAATTTGGGGCATTCAGAAAGCCACCCAGCTCTCATTTGACTTTCATCAAGTCAGACCGTAAGAGAACATTTGATCAAATACACAGACTGCAACATGTTCATTTTATTTGCTGCAAACACATATTTAAAAAAAGCCAGCATATGAGAAGCCACATCAGCTGAGCGGAAGCAGAGTCGGTGTGACTTCAGTCGAGCTCTGGTTCTCTCAGCAGGACGAGCAGCCTGTCCATCTTTAATATCTCTGCTTCTGAACCCTTGGGCAGATCCTGGCCCTTCTTGCTCTAAACACACAAAAACCAAACAAACAAAGAACCAACAATTAATTTCTTCTTCTCACCAGGAAGTAAAGGAAATACAGTGGTGAACACAAAGACAGACTGAAACACGTATAGCTCTGGAAAAATGAGTAGTCCACTGCACTGAATCCCACTGGTTACTCCACCAACTATTGATCTCTGAACTCTTCCTGAGTTAAAACATTAGTATTGCTATTTCTAAATGAATATAAACTTGTTTTCTTTTAATTATCTGCGTCTTTTTCCTTATTTTGACCATTTCTCATTTGCTGCAAACAAATACTGAACTTTTGCTTGCAGTTTCGGAGAAACACATGTTGTCGATAGCTCAACATGTCGATAGCTCAACATGTTGTCGATAGCTCAACATGTCGATAGCTCAACATGTTGTCGATAGCTCAACATGTCGATAGCTCAACATGTTGTCGATAGCTCAACATGTGTTCACGTTACTCAAACATATAAAAAGTAAAATCAGAGAAACCGATCATTTTAAGTGACCTATTAATGTTTTTTCAGAGGTTATGTAGAAAATAAATAAGGTTAAAATGCATGAAGTATAAAATATTTCAGAGTGATTAATTTAATGATGTAATCATTATAATTGAATAACAGCCCCTTTCCATATGCATTTTAAATCTGCTGCAAAGTCAGCTGCTTCTTCTGGACATCATTGCGAAGCGAACAGTTACGGCTCAACTTTATTGCCTCAAAGTGATCCAAGCACAAGACAATGTTTAGCAGGCCTGTTAAAGCTCTTTTACAGCTACAGTGTCCTGAGCCTGAGCTGGACTTTGACTTGAGTAGACCAAAAAAAGTCAACCACGTTGAACAGGGTCATGTAATCCGAACAATCTGGACAAATCACGTTCAAGAAAGTTTGAACATTACCCTCATTGGTGAATCGACACGGGAGGCAAACAAATAGTGTATTTTTTCAAACTCGATGCCTGGGTCGCTCCTACTCATTTTCGGATCTTTCTACAGAGAGAAAGATCTGTAGAAATAACACTCACAGAATATCAATAGTTGTGCCACAACGCTGTTTTTGTATTGGCTGAGCCACCAATAAAGTCACGTGGCTGAAGTACAATGCATATTGTTTTGAGTTACTAAATTATTTCAGTGGACACGTGACGACTTGCTCTGATCCCTAATAAAAAACATCACAGACCTTCAGGCCAAGGCGACTACATGTGCAAAGCAACAGCATGAACCAGAACGTGACAACGCAGCTGTGACCACAACACTCAATTTTTTTTAAACTTAACTGATACCAATAATTAGAACTTATTTTGGATTGAGTATAAAAACTATGACAGATACATGAATGGTTATAATAAGAACTCAGAACTGTGTCTATTTTCCAGCCTTAATGTCGTTTCGAGCTCGCCATCTTGGTCTAGACAGGCTATCCTTTCAAGACTATTTGCTAAATGTGTTTTTGAGGCTGATGCTTTTTTTTTTTTTTTTTTTTGCCACACTGGCCTTAAAAATACTCTAAGCATTGTCAGTGATGCTGAACTGTGCAATTATATCACTAATGGACTTTTAAGGAACAAAGTCAGAAATTGCGGGAGAAGAAGAACTGCGTCTGTGCGTACGCGAGCGCCGCGCGTTATGTTGTGTTCATATAATCGTGTGGTTAAAACAGGATGTTTGGAGAAGTCTGCGTAATACAATGTGCAGTGAAGTGTGCTGTGAAAATGAATGCAATGAATGCTTCTCTCTCGTCATTAAAGTTCTGTCTGGTTTACGCGCACTGATGCAAACAACACAAAGGAAACGTGGAAGCGCGGCAGAGCTAACTGTTAATGGGCTCTGATTAAAGTGTTGTGACTCAGTGTGCCATTTGCTTTCCTCCTGTGTTCAGGAGGACTGATGTGATTACTTCTCAGCGTAAGAGAGGCTTCAGGGACTCGTCTAGCAGAGGAAGATTAAAGTGGCACTTTTGTTTTTCAGCCCAGCTACATTTTGCTATGCTATTATACGCCGCTGACCAAATTGTTTTTCTTTAATTTATTCAAATAGGTATTCTTTCTGTAAACAAGAGAAATAGCGATTCAGATAACTTTGTAACGTGACGGGGAGATTATCCAGGACTGGGGTCAAGATAACTGCAGCTATTATTGGTTTCCATGTCTGTTTAAGTATACCCGTTCTTAGCAGCCTGTAGGACGGTCTGGTTTATTGGTTTGACTTGTTGACAACTTTTCAGATTTGCCAGTCACTGCTGTAGCTGATTGCACTTGGCAGTACAGTCGATATAATTATGCCAGTCTGATGAACATCATTTGTTCTGAGCGTCAACGCAGCAGGTGAAATGAGACACAGCTTATTGCAAACATTTGGCGTGTGAGCCAAGACGATTTACTCTCTGTTCATGACAGCAAGTAACATATTTTTAAGATAATTAAATTGGCAGGTGATGATACTATTCGCACACTTTCGACAACATTTGACAATGCCATTGTAATAGTGGTAATTTATCAACGATTGAGTTTTGTTTTTTTTAATAACCGTGCTACAAAAAGATCAAATTAGGGTTAATCTTATTATTTACTGAGCTGAATGAAGTTGTCATCTTAGACAATATTAAATATACATAAAGAAATCCAGACTGTTTCTCTATATGATATGGCGTTTTCTGAGATAAAAGGAAAAAAGAGTGTGTGCAGAATTCCACAAGCTATGCATGTAGCAGTGCTTTCCTGGATACCCAACTGCCCTGTTACCATTGCACTGCTTAAGAGTGGTGGAGCAAATGAGATTTATTGATTTTACTGACCTTGGGCTTCTTGCGGAGGTTTGGAGAGAGCTTGAGGCTGGTCACAGTCCCCCGGTCATCCCCCACAATGATGATAGGATGGATGGGATTAAATTCAATGTGAGTCAGCCGGATCTTCTTGGCAACCACTATCTGATGGCAGATACCTTCAAATTTGTTGATACTCAGGTCAAAGACGTGAACCTGAGAAAGATGAATCGTTATAACTCTTGTTTCACTTTTTTTCCCTCGTCAAATGTACTGGTATTTAGCAAAAACAATGTATAAAAGAAAGATCTCAAAACAGGAAAACTTGTATTTTGCTGATGTGATGACAAGAAGAGTACACTGAAGTTCAAAAATAGTTCTTCAGCAGGATTAGTCTGTATCTTCTTCCCATCAATTCCTGACCAGCTTACGTGTGCTTGGTGGAAATATCCCCCTACCATGTATAACATTATACTTTTGAAGTTATTATTGATAGGAAATTTCAGAAACCAGGCAACCTTTTCCTCTTACTTCAGAATTACAAACCACTTTTTTGTTAGTTTGCTACATAAACCGACATTAAAAACACACAGAACTTTGTTTTTGTGGACTGACTAAACCTATAGAGGTTCAAAGTGCACGGGACTCGTAATTCTGAGTCTTAACTCTCCATATTTGTGGGCATGTTGGGACTATTGATGTTTCCCATGATGCTGGACTTCCTTATGTACATGACATCATGTCATAACTTTCATCTTCCACCTTTAATGTATTTTGATAATCTGGTGACATTAAATGAATCTAATACAAAGCAGGTCCTACAATTCTTTATCAGAAAGATTAGTGTGCCTGTGCTAGTGAAGTTCTCACAGCACACAAGTGTTCATGCGAAGAACCCTCGTTTGTAACTAATCATCAAACTCCAACGAGGTCTCACTTTCTCTAACCTCTTATCAGAGCAGCTATTAACAACAGTGTTTTTGATGTTCAAATTCAAAGACTAATTCAACATTAGTCATGAGTAATTGCAGTGCAATATGACTGCATTTGTAATTCACAAAGCCACTTGGAGCAGTCAGTTCACTTCACTGAATTTATAATTACCGTGGCTTACATTAGCATAAAACTACAAATTACAGGTCTTAAAATGTTCCCTCCCAAGAATCTTAAAGAGAAGCTTTGTGCCAGAGTTTTGTAGCTCTAAGAAAAGATATGTCTTTTTGAGACTTGCTCAATATTCAAAGACAATGAAGCACTGCACTGTATTTATTTCCGCAATTTGTTTCTAACAAAGAAAATTCCTTGTTTATGCACCTATCACACAGTTATCCATCTTTCCCTGCTAATCCTTGCTGAATGGCGAACCGTGCCAAGCAGCTCTTTGTCTGCAGTGTATTTTTTCTGCAATTCTCAGTGATTACTTAGATGCATGGATTACTGCGTGGCACATTATGAGGACTGCAGAAAGTCATTTTATTTGGACATTTGGCTGCATTTATTTATTATGCAGCCAATAACAGACAGGAAAAGGCCTCAAATGACAACAACTTAATCATGAGATACAGTAGTATCAACCAAATTCATGTCGCCTGGATTCTCTTAATTTGAAGGGATGGCCATCCAGAACTAAATCTTTGGGAGAGCGTAGGGGGGTACAGCGATTCATTGTTTAGGTTGCCCTTTCAAGTGGAGATAATCAGGCTGGTACATTTGAGAAGGAAGGAAAATGTTGAGTCATGGGAAATGATAATGCAACAGCATTACTCCACATGCCTGTATCATCAATTATTGTCCTTTTATGGTCCAGCCCTACACAGAAATTACAAGACTAAAATAAGTAATTAAGACATCAATTTTAAAATAAAATATATCTATCTTATACTCTGGCGGACTTTAGGTACTGCGTTTCTGTGGTCCCCACATGTCATAGGGAGATTGTAGGATGAAAGAGGTGATTAAAAAGTGTTTATGGCTATTGAAAACTGATAACACACCCAGAATCCTAAGATAATTCTGCTGTAGACTCTGACCTGTAATTACAACACAGATAGAGAGACGACATACATTGCGTGCTTGTTCTCGGCAGCTGAGTTGAGCTGAACGTTCTGTGTTGGTCACTTGGGTTAAAACAACTGCGGATCGACCATGTTTGGGATGAACTTGCTTGCGATTTGTGTGCTCCTGTGTGCTACCAGCTGCTCAGCTGAAAACGGTAAGACTATTTTTTCCAATTAACTTGGAACCTTGACACATAAGTAAACATTTCGTCCTCTTGAAGATTACTTCAGCGCTGCTTGTGCTGTGATCGTTATCTTTCAAATAAAACATTTAATAAGTCAACTGGTGTAAATTATGAACATTACTAAAAAGTAAAGTTGAGTAAAATATTCCATTTTCTTTATGATTTTATAAATGCATTTATATGGACTTATTTCATCAGCTGTAAGATCAACGAAAAGGACTCTTCAGCCTTGGTTGATTGGTGTGTCAGCTGTCGTTGGCTTCTTGGTCATTGTCTTTATTCTGGTGATCGGAAAAAAACTACTATGTAAAGGAAGGTTTGTATAGCACAGTTATTTTTTCTCAAACACTGATGGTGTTGCACTGTAATCAGTTTCTTTGAGACTTTTTAAAAATTATGTTCTGATGTCAGAGGGATCTTTGTAAAGGCAAGTGTCAGAAAATTCAGATTGTTACCTTAATGCTAAAAGTTCTGGGGCTCTACCTCAGATGGGTGAAACATTCAGATAGAGCAAATTATTTCTAAAAGTTCGAGATATTTAATCTGTTAAAATGTGGACACACACTGTTATCACTGAAACCTATTTTTATTGGTTTCTTGCTTCCAATACAACATTTTCTATTTTATATATGTTTCAAATTTAACTGTTGAGCACTTTTCTTTCTGACTAACAAAAAGCCTAGGACAGTATGATTGCAATCATAATCATACTGTGGTAGAGTCCTATGGCTCAGCATAGCTGTTTTGTAATGACGCATTTTTATGTAATTTTCATTGTATAACTGATATTTAAATACAAACTTTTATAACTAAGCAAAATGTAGTAAAGCTTTAATCTAATCTCACAAAGAGATAACGCCTCTCATTAACAAATATATATGAGCGTGTTAAATTTGAACTTTGGCAAATTGTAGTGTTATCTTTCTTTTGTTGAAGTTTAACTTGGCTCTCTGCATTAATGTATTGTATGATACAGCAGAATTCTAACTTGCTGGTTGATCAAAAAAGTCAATTTCTTTGAACTCTGTAAAGAGGAGTGATGATTAGATTGACCATTGCATCTTTTTTCTTGGTCTAGCATTAAAATAATATTCTTGGGTGCTTTGACGCCATTAGAAATGGAGGTGAAAGTATCCGAGCAAGCAACCAATCAGTGCGTCCGTTGTTGTACTGTGTTGCAGGGAAACAGAGGAGAAACGGAGCTATGAAAAGGCCCAAAAGCAGGATCTGGACCTCTATGAAACCAATCTGTAGAAACTCATCTGCTTTTTAGAAAACGACTGTATCCACACAGTGACCAGTCTAATAGTGATGCACATTTTCAACAGAGAATATGGCTGAATTTAATTTACGTCAGCATCCTATGTAATGAGGACTCCTTTTCTAAGTCATCTTTTCTTTATTTTTTTGATTGTTTACACTGCTATTTTCTTTGAGACAAAAGCCTTGGACCTTATTAAAAAGATGAATGGTTAAAAATGCGAGAAGGTTGCCTCTAAGTATAAGTGTTAGGTTGTTGCAACACAAAGCAAGACTGGAGAATGATATAAATAATTTACAATTTGTCATTTTTGTTAAAATGTAAATAAAAACAGATTTTCTAAAAAATAACACCCTTTGTACGTTGTCTTGACTTTTGAGATTTGCTCATTTCATTTCTAGTAAACTACAAAGACTGAAAAATGTGTGTGACAGTACCTTCAGAGAAGGTTGAGAGGACATCCACCAGAAACCGTGAACACAGAGCTTGAAGACTAATCACCAGCAGAGATGACCAGACTTTCTCATTATGTCATCCAGACACTTTTTCTACACAGGCAGCTCAGATGGAGGATCAGGGACAGAGAGAATTTGTTTGCGCCACACAACTGTGTGTCATACTTGCACCTCAGCCTCCAGTCAATGCATTATCCTCATGAACACATGTGCACAAGCTCACACAAACCCACACACTCACACCGTTGTTCCTCTGACATTTTGTGGCGTGGCAGAAGTAACTGAAAGCCATGTTGTCATTATTGGTGTACATGCAACAAGGAGCACATGACTTAAATGAGTCACTCAAAGCTCTACTCGAGAGTTGCCACAGAAATTGATTAATGTGCTCCAATGAAACCGCTGTACTGAGAGAGAACATGGAGGTTAACACAAGTCAATAAATGTGAGAGTTCTGTGTGTCTTATTTCATTCCTTCTAATCTGAATGAAATAAAACACAGTACTCAGTCTTGATGAAATTGAGAAAATACAACTGAACACAGGGATCAACCTTCAATCCTGTGCTGCATGTCTTCCCCTTCTCTCCTCACCTTTCTTCCTGTCAAACTACTAACTCCACAATGAAGAATGAATAAAACATGACTGGTTTTATTGTTTGGGGTGTAGACACCCCAAAGTCTACAATGAGGTGGAACTGCACCTTAAAGCTAAGGTGGAACTGCACAATTAAAACTAACATAAAATACGAGACAGAGGTGTGGTTGCAAAGATTCAACAACACTTCTTTGCAATTTGAAATGTTGCTCCAAAAAAACTCCTTGCCAAAGCTTCTGATAAATGGAAAAGCATCCTGCTATCCATGTTCATTCTCTGGTAAATTTCTACTGTATATACTAGAAATGTAGAGCGGAAACAATTGTCCCGAAAGCAGCCCTGGTTCCACGTCTCAGGTAGGGCAAAAGGTTTCTTGTGTGGTATAATGAGTTATTCTATGCCACAGCTGGTACCTGTGGTGATCAAATCCTGGCAGTTGAGAGGACATGATATAAATATGTGATACACAAAGTATCACATAAGGTGTCTCTCAAATTACTCAGCTCTCATTTCCTCTCTGTCATTCTCACTTGACTTCACTTGGCGCACTGCACAGCAAACGTGTCAGACATAACAACCTTGACTTTTATAGTGTTGCACAGACTGAGAGGACCAACAGATGGGGACAGCTTGAAGCCATACAGAAAAAAATATGTGAAGATAAGCAACACGACACTCACTGAAATTACTTTTGCCTGGAATCAATAACTGGGAAGCTTCTTTGTTACATGAAATCAGAGTCTAAACCAACTCAATTTCCTGAGGCTACCTAACTTTGATTTGAGACTCATCCAATATATAAAGAAAATTAAAAAGTGAGCGGCAGATGGTAGATGTTATAGCTGTTTGGTGCTTCACATGTTCAGTCAAATAAATGTCAAGTTATCGTTGATACACAGCAGATACGTGTTGCCGCATCTGTGCAATCTCGGAGGCAAGCACGCTGCAGGCTCCGATGAAGGTCTGAAACTGGTGACATGCTTCTTTTAAACATGGAAACATTGGCTAGGAATGTTTTGCATGTTCTAAATTCCAAAGGTAGAAAATGACTAGAAGTTCTGCTCATTTTACCATGCTGCCTTTTGGAAAAGGAAAACTGAAAAAGGCCCTTACCTTTCTGTCTATTGTTACAGCAGCGAATATAGTGGAGGAGTAAGGAGCCCAGCAAACATCTCCAACGGGTGAGCCAAGGTCGAAGGTGAACATCGGAGTCCTGAAATAATTACCAAAGGAAAGTTAAAGTAATATACAGGGAAAGTTGCTCACCTTAAATATACAGAGACACATTTTATTTTCTGGGAACAGACATATTTGATTATCCTTTTGGGAATGCACTCAGGAGCAAGTCTAACACCAAGTGAAAACGGAGGCCGCGCCATGTGACTGAATTCTTATTTCTGAACAGAATCCAGAAACATGTATAAAAGCGTACAATCAATACTTCTTGGCACACATTTCATGTGCACATTCAGGTGAGTGTGTTATGTTTGAATCCATTGAAAATTCAAAGCTTAAAAGATTGGAATATAACTGACCAGAATAAAGATTAAAAAAAGAAAAGAAATGGCAACACTAACAAAACACTAGTTTTGTCTACTTTGACACATTTTTACAAGTCTAAGCCTGTCACAAAAGGCAATAAATCAATGAATCAATGGTCAGTATTTTTGAGGGGCAATTTTGTTTTCAGAGACATGAGAGACAGTATGTTAAAGATCACACTTTGAAATAGTTTTTAGTGAAAATGGCATCATGTTTTATTTTTATTTATAGTTTTGGCTTTGTATGTTTTTATGTCCCTTTTTTAATTGCTTTTGGTTGTGTTTTTGAATATTTTAAACATCATTCAGTTTTAGGCATTCTTCACAAAATTAAAGTTTGTTGGTGCCATTCACAAATAACTTGAAAATGGTCTTGAAGCAATATTTTTTTCTATCACAACAATTACTGGGACAATTTATCATCCAGCACATTTTGTCAGTGTGACAGGCATACAGCGTTCATTTGTCTTCAAAATGTTATTTATTTCATAGCATTCTCTCAGAAACTTCTGAGACCTTCACAGAACAACTTCACCTGTACTAGAAATAAACGGCACACAGCTTCACTCTATTTATAGATAAAGTGGCTTCTGAAAAAAAAGACCCCAAACATATTTTCTTGTCTTTCCTCTGTGCCTGCAGGTGGATTTTTTTAATTTTTTATTAAAAGATAAAATACCCCCTCAAAAAAAGCCATTTATGTTATTTAGAACTACTGTATATTTGTGTGTGAGAAATTCAGGGCAAATTAAAGTCTAGTCTGTTCACAGTATAAAGCAGGAACTTACTAACATACAGCTATGAGAAGATGGAGTAATTTTCAATATCCACTGATCTTAATCATAATGCATTCTACTTTCACTGACTTTGGAAGACTTGTTGTTGAAACTCTTGTGGCCCACAAACACTGCATTGTTTTGCATTGAAGTCTAATCATCAAGAAGGTCCAAATTCGTTCCTTCATTAATTTATTTACAAGGTTTGGCAGTATTTAATTCCACAGTGAGCTGAGAAGTGAAAGTGTCTGAATTCAGAAATCTTAAGTTTTGTATTTTTAAGTTGTTAAGGATCACACTTTGAAATAGTGTCTCTCATGATGAGCAAATGATTACTATCATTATTCAGTCAAGCTGCTTGTGCAGTCAAAATGTGGGAGGATGTGTGGGTTAATCAAATGAGCCAAGAAAATTATGTTTTTATGAGTCTAAGAAGCTCATAAAGACTAACACACTGCAAAACCATGGAAAGATCAGGGGAATTACTATTACATATCACTGAGTGTCAGATTATTTGCAAACAAACCATTAAAATGTTGCTTAGGTTATTGTTAAAGCATTATTTAACACATTTTTAAAACTAACAAGAAGACATTTGTTGTGTGATTCTTTCATTGGCAAAATGAAAAGAAAATGCATATGATTAGTTGATTATATTATTCAAGTAATCAAAATGACAATAAAAACAGGTTTGTCCGTTGGATGTTAAACATGGACGTGATGTTGACATCAATCAACTCCTTTCAACTCAACTCCTTTCAAGGTGAAATCTTGAAAGGAGTTGAGTTGAGTTCAAAGAAAGACTGTAACAGGAGTCATTATAGCAGTCATGTTACTTCCCAGAGCTTTCAATCTCCTGTGAAAATGAACTTCTTCCAACGAACACGAATACTTCACAGAACAACACGTACACAGTCTATCAACAGGTTCAGTGCTGCCTATTTTATTCAATGGAAAGTTCAGCTAAGCCAGCAGACACAGATGGAACGCTGGCTCTCGTGATGGTGGGCATGTGTCTTAGCACCACATAAACAACAGTGTCACAGACAAGTGTTGATATATGTGTTGATAAATGGCGTCTCTGATAGTCCGGTGAATAGTCCAGTGGAAAAGCTCACTAACTGTACAGTTGACTGCCCCAGCAGGCATTAGTCCCAGTAACCCCGGAATGGTAGGATTAAAAGGGAGTAGACTGCAAAGAACTGAATACTTATTTAAATTAGATTTAAAGTTAAATGCTATACAAGATAAAATGTTTGTATTTACAGACCAAACCATGCCTTATGGGTGTTCACACTGACACCATAGGTTACAGAGCAACTAACCATTGAGGCATGGACATTATTAGACCACTAAAGTGTTCAATCCGTGATACCTTGCATCAGACTTTCAGCAGATTATTTAAGTAAGGTGAAATCTTTAGGGGATATAATGCTGTCTGAGTACAATGTGCTACTTTATAGCATAATCGAGTAACTCTATTAATATCAGTTGTTGTAAAAATGTTGTGCATATCAAACATGACAAGAGAACTTGACTTCACAATTTGATTAATTGAAATTGGCCTCTGTCTCTTAAAGAGCGCCTTCTCTATCCAACTCTCTGTCTTCTTCTCTGTTATGTCCTTTCCAATGGTTCTTAGGGAGTTGGACTGAGATGTAGTTTGTATGATGAGTTAGGATTAATTTAGATTAAATTCACAAGAGTTTTAGGGGATAGACTTATACTTATCACAAACGGGAAAATAAACCCATATAGTTCTTCCTGCTGTTCATTTGACTGTAGTATTAATGGCTGATTAAGGTAGAGTTTATTATTTTATGGTTAATAGCTATAAGAAAAGTCAAATGACTCAAATGATTTCTGTTTCTTACTTGACGGTGTGGTCCCAGATCTTCACATTCCAGTCTGAACTGCAAGAAATAAAAAGTTTGGGATGGAAGTGGTTCCACTTTACGGTATCCACTGGCATACGATGGGCATCATATGTCTCTAGGAACTGACTGGAGTAAGTCTTAGAGCACTAGGGAATAAAAGGAAAAAGTTGATTATTACCTACAAATCAAAGTGACAAGAAGGCAATATTCTTAAGTTACTCTGCTCTTTTGGTGTCTGCATTTTAGACCTTAATAAAATAAGGCTTATAACATCTACAATATTAAGTAAGAATTTATGGAAATGCCTTTATTCAAATATTACCAAATCAAGATCTGGCATATAAATAGACACAAAAGAAAACAGAGGTCAATTAGGATTTTACATTATACTTTAGTTTATTTTTTCCCCCCATATTTTTTAATTCTTGTTTTCTAGTTAACCTCTACAGGATGTGTGTCACATTACAATAATTAAGAGTGTTGAAATGATTTATAATCCTTTTTTACTTAACAAAATCATGGTATTTTATTAGGGAAATGTGAACCCTATTTATTATTCTATGCAGATAACTGTATAATAATTTTCCTGTTATTTATTTTTGTGTATATGCTGCTGGTGTGTTGGTACCGTGAAGTGATTTGGTAAAAATGCAGCTGTACTGAAACTTAAAGTGAAATATATATCTGACAGATTTAGACCAAATTTGATTTAGGGATTGTGAAAGCAACAAAATAGAAGAGTTAGACTGCCGGGTTAAATTAACAAGACAATCTTAGGTAAACACTTGATGGGTTGTAGACACAGCTGCTGCATTTTCAAACACAGTCAAAATGACTGCTGTCCTGCAGCTCTGTGGAAGATTGTTAATCAGTCCTCTCTATGGTGTCCGTGCCAATGTGACAGAAGGAGGATCTAATTTCACACATATCGGGGGAAGTGTCTGTCAACAAGTTAGCAAGAAGAGCCGAGTGAAGCAAAGGTGATCCTGAGTCTTTTTGCTTTCTTCGTAGAAGTGTAAGGTATCAAACATATTTTAAATGTGTGTTTTATGGTGTCTGAGTTGAAATTCATTCCTATACAAAATTTTAAGATGCACCCCACTGAGACAAATACAAAAAAAGGTTAAAGTGGGTCAGTATGGCATGTTTCATTTTATCACTCACCTCCAAAGACTACTGTTAACAGGAGTTAATTAAAAATAATATTTAGAGTTAGAGTTTAGTGTTAATGATTCTACAACCATAACACACATGTAGTGTTTTGGATAAATACTGCCACCCCTGGCTTTGTGACATTTAGAGAATAATCCTTTATTCTCATTTAAAATGAATGCACTTTCATTCATATTTTTCACATAAACGTCTTTTGGCTTGAGAATAAGTTCAGATAGCCTTATTACTGTACGTCAAATTAAGATGTGACTTCTTTTTTCCCTGGAGGTCTGCCTGTCGAAGCGGATCACATCAACAACATTCTTGATGTAATTATAGAAGTGTCATTCAGCCACATCGGCTTTTGAAATCCTTCACACATACCTTATATATTTTCCCCTCTTCTGTGCCAACTAAGAACAGATAATCAATCTGTTTGTGGAAGTCGAGGGATGTACCACGAGCTGCACATAAGAGGCATAACGACATACAGTGTCACATATCGCAGTCTCATTTTATACACTAATTTTTATAAATCAAAAAGAAAACACTGTCATAGAGAAACTCTCATAAAAGTTTGTGAGGGAATCTTACAGATGACAGTCAGCTGTGAACCATCTGACCCATCAGATGGATCACCTTTCACAGACAGTCTGATAATGTCCGATGACATTAGCTCATTCTGCAATCATACAAAATATACAGTTAGAAAGCAACATACAGATACAAAACAAATACTTTAATAATTGAAAAAAGAACAAACACATGAATTTATGACCGCAAGATGCGAATACACAAAAGCAAGAAATAATCATTCAAATAACCAAGCTCCATTTGCAGTATGTACTGACTGTACAAACCTTGACAAGTGTCCAGGTCACAACTCTGCCATCAGATGACACAGAACAAAACATATGGTTGTTGTCCATGTCATCGTTTTGCCAGCGCACCTGAATACAAGATGTCTGTGTGAGAAGACTAAACACATAAACAGATTGAACATTTTGGATTATCTTCAGCATTCAAACTGACAAAAATATGTCACTATTGAAATGTATCCCAAAGCTAAATAACTATCCAAAGTTTCCCCCAAGAAAACTAGCAAAGCCCGGTGCGTGGGTGCAAGGGCAGTCATTCATCCAATGGCCCGTCGTGTTTTTGAGTTGAAAGGTGTTTAAAGTTGACAGGAAATTTGAAAATATCAAAATATCACTTGATAATTATCTTATTGAAAGATTGAGAGATTAATACCTGAACCTGAAAAAATACACAAATTTTAAAGAGACTTAAAAAATAAGCAATGCTTAGCCTGGTGGGAGCACAAGTAAACCCTGGTGGCCCACCAGTTTTAAAATACATTGGCGGAAACCCTGACTATAATAATACCACTGATTGTGATTTTTTTTTAAATCTACTGAAAAACTAACCTGAGCATGAAAAAGCAAGCTGAGTACTTCAACATTTAACTGACACACAAACAGTGAACTCCCCAACCTAATGTCACCTGCCAGACAGGATCTGAGTGCTTTCCGGTGCTTGCGTTACTCTTGTAGACAGGGTCTTTTGTTGTCTCCTTCAAGTTGTAAACAGCCACACAGCCATCGTAGAAACCCACTGCCACCAAATACGAGAGTTGTGGATGGATGTCCAGGCAGAGGATCCCAGAGCCCGTGGAGTAGATGTGCTCTGGAAAAGCCGAGTTCTTCAATGAGAAGAAGAGCAGCATGCCACCCTCCTGTTTACCGAAGTCATCTAAATACAACAGCGACAAAAGAAAGATGATTTGGAAAGGATCAGTTTTTAAAAATTATTCAATAAAAGATGTTATGACAACTTCAGTTAGTACTCACATGATCCCAATCCCACAGCAAACAGGTCCTGGTATTTGTTATTCCTATCGAATAATAATCAGTTATCAGTCGTCCTTCTCTTTTGAGACGTAAATGAGATACAAAACTGAAAATGTATTAATGGTTCTCTTTACTAATGAATAAAGTCCAGACTTCAGTGTTTGAAATGAAAATTCAAAATGTTGAACCAATTGCACCTTTGAGACATGGGCAACCACTAAATTAACAAAACATTAATCAGAAAAGCAGCACAGACTCATGGTGACTCAGGAGAAGTTGCATACTGACAAAATTTGACAGAGTTCACAGGGAATCGGAACTTTACAAGTCCCCGTTATTCAGATTTTATGTTTCACAGATCTGATAAATCAACACACCAGCAGAGGGCAGTGACAGCCAAATGCCTGGCTTTTTCATACTGAAACGTCCACAAAGGCAGAAGAGTTCCCTCCTGGTCTCTGAACTCATCTGAGGCATCCTCAAAGTACTTAAAATCTGCAGGTTACAAAAGAAATGCAGTCAGAGAACAACATAGAGCAATGTGTGTTGTTAAACATGTGTTTCACATATGAACGATCATACCTTGTGCTATGTCGTCCATTGTATTTTGGATGACCATTCGTTCAATAATCTTGGCTACTTCGCCCACTTTAGCAACTTCCTCATTCTGTAATAGAAACACAGCAACGGTTTGGGGCCTCTGGGAATACTAATTCAACCAAGTAGGTTATATTAGTTTTAGTTTGGTAATGTGTAGACTGCACAATTTGATTGTATATATTGAATGTACACAATAATATATTAAGCAAGGAAAGCTAAAAAAACTTTACCCCAGAGTCCAGTAACTTTTTCTTGACTTCAAATTCATCTTTTTTCACCACTGTGGATCTCCTTTTCTTTTCAATTGTGTCATGGTGCTGCAGTTTGTGCATGTATGCATCGTAGATCTCCCACTGCAAACAATCAGTTATTAAAGTCAACCAATCACAAAGAGAAAATAATTCCCCTCACAACATACCAGAACACAAATGTGCAATGTACCTGATTAGCAGAGTCAGAAAAGGTGATGCGGGGAGGAGGTTCAGTTTGGCAGCTTCTTTCCTGAGGAAAAAAGAACATCTCTTAATTTTAATACATAGTACATCAATACATAAGCAATGACAAATTGTGTTAATACCAATATTATACTACATTGCATATGTTAACTACATACATTAGTTACTGCTTTTTCATACCCTTGAAGGATTATTGCGAGTCTGTCCTGCCCTTTCACTGAAGTTGAATTGATTTGTAATTTTTGGCTCCCTCTTGCGACGTCTTGAGGAACCACCACGTGGTTTGTCCTCATCTCCAGTTTCTTCACTTTCGCCTCCATCCTCCATAGGTGTAGACTTCTGTGGAAAATCATCAGAGGGAGGTTCAAGTTCAATACACACAAGTCAATTTTGAGTATTTAATCAAGTATTTACGTTAATATTTTGAAAACAATGCCTGAAATCGCTTTAAGAGCCAATACACAGATTTTTTACCGGGGTTTCAGCGTGATCCTCTACTTTACTCTCCCCTGGTACAAACCCTGGGCAAAAATGACACATTTATTCTTAAATTTATAGTTCATAAAGCAAACAAAATACATTCTGTGCATTGTGTAATTCTGCAAACTGTGTTTGTTAGCTCAATAGTGGCATCTAGTGGCTCCCAATATTCACTACTAGAAAAAAGAAATAACATAAGCTTAAAGTTAAAAACACTTTATTATACCTAAAAGGACAAACATGGTTATGCCCATACAGGCCATAAGTCTTCCAAGAACAACACTTAATCTCTATAGTTTTTTAAAGCAGATCAATTGTACATATTTTTTTTTCTTGGGAGGGAGGAGCTTTGACATTGATTGAAATACCAAATTCAGTTTCCAATTTTAAATAGTTATTTTTTTCTCTTCCAACTCTTAAAAGGAAATTAGGAAGAAAATTATTCAAGCATTTTTCTGTGTTATAATTTAGCTGTTGTTTTTTTTATTCTTTGAGAGAATATTTGACTGCCCACTGCCCAGTATCCATTTATAACTTTCCCATCTACCACGTGTGCATTGTTAGTTTAGTTAGTTGAATTACAGGCAGACAAGGCTTGCAGCAGAGTGATTTTAAATCCTCAGATATGGTTTGCTAACTCCTAAAGCTACCAGCGTGATATCTTGTTATCCATAAAAACTGATAGCTGTTAAACTGAAGTTGAAGACATTATCACTACTTTTATATTGGGTGGTTATTCTGTTGTGCATTGATAACTCACTTCTACATTCCTTAATTAAAATGACCATTCAAGTCTTTTGGCTTTCATGTTTTTTTGTTTTTTTTTTGCCACTTTTCAGATAGTCAGAAAATACAATAAAAATCTGGACAACATTAAACAGAAAAAGTAGAATTATTTTTTTTTATATGTCCTTTAACCGTCCATATCAAAATTACAGGAGTCTTTATAGCTGCCATACCCGGAGGTAGCTGAACGATGCTAAGTCTTCGAGCTTCATCAGAATCTTTATCTAATAGGTTTCCCTCCAAAGCAAAGTGGACCGCCAAGTGATCCACAGCAGTCACTGGCTTATAGAAACGTTCCTGAAATAGGCAAATAAAAATTACAAATATTAGTAAAATAAATTAATTTCAATATAATTGAGTGATTTCCCCAAAATACCTTAATTGTCTGTTCAAAAGACGTTAAATGAGTAAATATCACAGTAAAGACTTCAGGCAAAATACCAATTTAATTTTGTGTCCTCATGAAGAGCCAACAAGCACAGTTGTTTTCATACAACGATCTTAAAATACCTTATTTGGACTGACAGTGGCTATAATTTTTGCAATAATGGTAGCATGTACATTATATTATGTAATTTTATATGCTGAGTTATGACTTCCCTACCTTGAAGCTGTAGCGAACAAGATTTTTGGGAGCGTGTGGGTTGTTTGCATTTAGAACTCTTGTAATTTCCTCTTTCAGCTCCTATATAAATCAGTACAGGTCAAAAAACAAAATTATATGTACATAATGTAAAATAAATATCACAAAGGGCATATAATTTGATAAGAGAGTGAGAGAGAAAAAGAGAGAGACATTTCCACATGACAATATTGTCTATTTCAGTCACCAGTTACAAGATCTACAACGCAACAGTGAGTCAAAACAGATAAAATTTAATTTCTTTTTAGTATATTGCCAAGCTATTAAAACCTAAAATGATTCACAAAGAAAGATGCATACGACCTGTCCAAATTGAACTGGAAAATGAATATATAGATAAGGAATGGTTAAAATGCTCCTAAAGAGAGATCACAAGATACCCACTGACATCATCCGTCATTCACTGCTGAAAACAAGCAACTACAAAGTACACATGAGAGTGTCATTCAAAAATTATTATGTGATCTGTTTCTGTCTTAAGTAGTGTCTTGTTTACAGGCCTGTTTCTAATCATTCATCCAGTTACATCCTTCTCTTACAGCCTCTGTGAGGACCAGTTGATGAGGATGATGATGGTGGTGATGATGATCCGAAGTGGATTTCAAATGGAAAGAGTCGTCCAAGCCATCAGTCGCGTCCCATGCGTCATCGTCGTCCTAGAATGTCAAGCATAGAAATGATACATGTCTGTAGAAAACAAAAAATATATATTTTGCTGTGCAAATGCACGGCAAAAAGTAACCATATCCCTCGGACTACTCAATAGTTTGTCATGGTCCGACAGCAAATCTCAGTCTTGGTAGTTGAAATGTTACTCCTTCCTCTTTACAATCATGCCCCAGGCTTTGTTGGTCCACACACACACAGTTGCAATTAAATGTATTGCAGTTAGTGGCAAGTGACAAAAAGCTTTTAATCGTTTACTTCGAACATTTGGGAAATAGACGCACCTTTGCGAGAGTTTTGGATGCCTTCTGAGCGGGTGCTTTGTGAACAACGGAAGCCTGTTTGAAAACAAACCAAGACAGGAGTAAAAATGTCAAGTTAATCACCGAGTGGGTGTACAGCGGTCTCGCGATTTTGCTAGTAGCAACTCGACTGAGTAAGATTTGGCAACAATTACCTTTCTGGCAGCCATATTCACGGGAGCTCAGTAAGGAGTCCGGGCTCAAAAGCTTGAGAATATATATATATATATCTGCTTTTGTCTATAAAAGTCAGACAAACTCTTCAAAACGGTCACTAAAGCAAAAGGAGAACGCGCCGAAAGGACGCTGCCTGGCTCCTGCGTACTGGTTACCATGACAACCGCCAGTCTTTCCGTTACGAGCCGTTGTTAGGTTTGTGTCAGTTAAAGTTACATAGATCCTATAAATAAGGTGTAAAGGTTTAACGTGCCATATAGTTTCCATGCTTTTTATTTGATAGTTTCTTTAACATCTTTTTTTTAAAGCGTTACATTTAAATTTCGAGTCAAAATGTAACATCGTCACGTCGTTTGAAAAATAATATATGAGTTGTAAAACATCTCAGGTCGATATTTAGATCATAACGGAGTAAAAATAACAGATCTGCGTATTTCCGTGTGTTGTCCTCTGTGATTGGACAAGACCTTCATGAATATTCCACACAACCCGGAAGTAGGGCGGTACTACTGGTGCTTTGCTGTCGAGTCACCTCTGTCAAGCGGGATGGAGGAAAAGGAGCCGCTATTATGCTGATAAACGCAGGATCCCGACGGACTGAGCATCAATGACCGACACTGGTTCCGTTTAAACTGAGCGTTTATTCTTTAAATTACCGAATTTGTCTCGTCACAGTTTGCCAAAATGATGGAAGAAATCGACAGGTTCCAAGTGCCTCCTGTCAACGGAGAGACACAGCCTTTGGTAAGAGAGGAAAGACAAAACCCCCATCGTATTATGCAAATGAATCTTTACTGAATTCAAAGGAAGAGATCCTTCTGTCCTCTTTGGCTGACTGTAACAGATGTGTAACGATATGATGGTGGTGAGCCAACGTGTAGTAATTTGCAGCTCTGGGATACAGTGGATCCTGGGATGGGTGGATATAGCGACCAACTACAGATAAAAAAAAAGGATGCCGATTACCACCTTCCCTATTTAGTTAAAAAATGTCCGCATAGTATTTAATGAGTAACACTCAACCCTCTGTATTCGAGTAATTTCACTACGCACTCAGTCAAAATCGTGAGTCTTCAAAGCCCACGTCATATGCGCTTGTTTACATCAATGCTGTCATAGCTTGGTGTTTTTACGTTTCGTCATCGACTGACGTGTTATTTTGGTCGGGATGGGTACCAGACCAAAAGATCGCGTGAAGTGGGTCCCCGCCGTGAGCTGGACTCGTCGGGCGATGCAATGCAGAATAATATTTTCAGATTATTTATTTATTTATTTTTATTTTTTGCACCGATTGGTTAAGCTCCAAATTGGTGAAATAATAGCTAATTGTTTTCGCAGTTCGTTTTGCAAATAAAAAGTTGAATTAAATAAACTTAAATGGGATAAATTAATTTGCACTTCTGTTTAGTTTGAACACGTAACAGAGTTATTCTATAAATTCTAGCTATTATAGTTCTATTTTCTAAATAATTTTGATGTGCTCCTCCTGTTTTTATTCTGTACTTCTGCAGCAAAGCAATCGGATGCATCCAAACCATCCAACGTGGTGACTATTTCATCCTCTCAGATTCGTTTAGATATCCAGGATCAGATTTCTGGATTGTAGCTGCAGTTTTCTTTCAATAATCACCTCACACTCAAACAACTCCGGATCCTTTTTTGGTATTGTCTTATTCAAACCTCTCAAAGAATTGCTCCGGTTACGCTTCCACACTAACCATAACAAGATCGCAGGTGCTGTGGCACACATGGTCATGCATTTTGATGCTAATAACCCCATTGTGCTTCCCAAGCTGCATGAATGCACTTGGCACCTGCCAAATTCACACAGAAATACTTCTTACATAAAACATTGGGTGAAGTAATCATCGTCTGCTCCCTTTTTATGTTGCTTTTCACTGAAAGACAAAATTGCAAAAAAATAAAAACCCAAACAAACAAAAAATATTTATATTTTTTATAAGTAACCACACATTACAAAGCACAAAAACCCTTCAGTACAGCTACCAAATCCTGGAATGGTTCATGGTTTATGCTCATGTGCCCCTGCTTTTCATAATCATATTGTACTATTTATTGTTGCAATTGTTAGAAGATTGTTAAGCATTCATTTGTTTCAGTAGTCACATGATATATCATCCTTCACTAGGATTGGTCAGTGGGTGGCTGCAATGTGTAATCCTACCAATTGCTTAGAGTTCATGCTGTGTCAGCAGCCATGTAGCTTTTCAACATGTGAACAGGAGGACAAACAGATAAATGTGACACACTGAGGGGTATCCAGTGCTTTGTGAAAGTATTCTCGCTCCCGTTTTAACATTCCTCCATTTTATAAGCTCCAACTATGTTTCATCGGGCGTTTGCATGATTGTAATAAGGGATGAAAAGATACGTGGCATACGTTTTATTTCACAAATGAAAATCTAAATAGTGTGGCTTGTATTCAGCACTCCTGACTGAATACAGGAGTGCTGACTGTTCTGGAAATTCTCCTTTGCTAAAAAGCTGAAGATCAATCAGAATGGATTCTCTATGAACATATATTTTTGAGCTTTGCTTCAAATTCCCAGCTGGAATTAGAATTGGCCTTTGACTGGGTCTCGTGAATATGCTTTAATTTAAATAATTATATCGTAGATCTGGCTTTATAATCAAGGTTGTATTGTTCAAGTGAACCACTAAATTTATGCTGAGATTAAATTACACACATTTCAGATTTTTGAATTAAATTATTGCAAACGCTGACATTTGTGGTTGCAATGTGACAAAATGTGAAATCATTTAAAGGAGATGGGTAATTTTGCAAAGCACTGAATGTGTGAACAAATGTCATCTTGAGGGAGAGTATTTGTATGTAAATTTATGCAGTAGGTCAGGGCTGTATATCATGTTTTAATGTACATAAATAAGATGAGTTGCCCCAGGTGCTATAGCCCTATCCATAGTTCAGGTTATATTCTTGCACAGCAGATGCTAATGAAGGAAACTCGAGCCCCTTCTGTGCTTAATATGCTATTTTATATCCCTTTTGAGTATTTTTTTTTTTTTACCAAGCCCCAATTCCTCAAAGGACTCGATTTTCATGCCAGTCATTCTTTTGAGGAATTCCAAGTTATCATTATCAACATTTCTTTTTTTTTTTTTTTTTTTTACAAAGACTTCTAAATTCATTTTCCGCTAGGTGCTTGCTTTCTAGTAATGAAGTAGAATAGAATAAACCAATATCAGGCACAGACGGTTTAATTCAAATATGTTTTTACTTCACACCGGTTTCTTTTGGAGAGAAAAACAAATCAAGGGATTTCTTTTTTCATCCTCCAACATTATTATATCTTTCTGGTGGAAAGCGCTAAAGAAAAAATAGTGGAAAAAAATAAAACAACAACACAGCGGTAAGCCTAATCATCTAAAGCAAAAGGCCTGCTATCTGAAAGGAAATACTCGTGCTTCATGCAGTGGGAATAATTTGTCTTTGTGTTTAGATTTCTTTTTTTTCTACCTGTCTGTAGGCATCATGTTCACAGCTGCAGCTTTCGTTACGTCTCTCATGTAAGGGGAAAAAAAAGCGACACTGACGGATAAAGATGAGGCCATTAATGAAGTTGACATGGGTTACTCATCCCATTGCAAGGCAGAGTAGAAATTCAGACTGATGTCCAAGACTGAACCTTAAAAATGCGTTCACAGTAGGGTTTCTGCACAGTCTGGAGAAGTAAAGAGTTTGCCTATATTTTTGTTTTCCAGATGTGGATTTATAGAGATGACAGACTACTCAGTATGAAAACATGTTTGAATTGTCAGATAAGACTATAAGACTTTGCTTATAAGCATCCAAATTTCATTGCAGGGCACTCTTACTTAATTCTTTAAATATGAATAAATACGATGTATTACGATGTATATTTTTTCTGTTGATTGTGAGGTTCGGTTGTGGGCAACAAATCCAATGGGGTATAGAAGGAAGGGTTCACAAGTAACAGGATTATATGCAAGGTTGGTGCCTGATTTCTCTACATGATCTTTATCAATCACTACTTGCTATCATGTTGACAAATGTGTTACTTTTCATTGAGTTTTTTTTTTTAAGCAGCTCTAAGTCAGCATTTTCTATCCATCTCTTTTCTTGCTAATTTCTTGTGCTAAAAAAACTAAATTATTATTATCTCATTGCCTGGGCCATGTTGACGAGTCCCTTAAAATATACCTGCAAGCACTGATCCTTGCAAAGCTATTCATACCTCTGGAACTGAACCACAGTTTGTTTCATTACAACCTCCAACATAATTTCATTTTGTAAAGATTTTATTTACCAGAGGTCTTCAAATCCAGTGATCTTGTGTCCTGTAAATTTTAAACTAGTTCCTAGTTTAACACACCAGAATCAAATGACTGTATCTCCTCCTCAGTGCAATCAAGTTCTCCAGAGTGCTGCTAATGACCTGATTGCAAAAGAGAAGAAAAGTGATACATACATAGTTTTAAGATGTTTTAGCAAATAAATACTTGGAGATCCAAATGTATTTGTCACAGCTTTACCTGGACACAGGTGATTGGAAGATGGAAAGAGCTAAATGCAGAACAATCCAGGAAGAGAGCCTGCTAGAGTCTACCAAAGATTTAAGAGTAGGTAGGACAGCCCTAAAAAATGGAATGATTTACAACAAAACATACTATATTCATGTGTCAGAGTGGTTAGTCAACGTTCAGGCTTCGATCCAGTTTAGAACACGAGTTAAAGATTCTAATATATAATGTATATAAACATCCAGTCTGATAGACTGAGTAATTTATTGACGAATGGGTAAAAATGTCAGTCTATACATGAGCAAATTTGATAATGACATACCCCCAAAAGGTTTTAGCTCTTATTATCATGACAGATGTTTCAACAAAATATTTTAATTGTAAATTGTTTAAACCTATCATTTTCCTACCATTTTACAGTGATGTGATATTTTTTTGCCTAAACATAAAATTTGCAGAAAGAGTTTTGTGCTGGTAATGTACCAAGCTGTAGTCAGTGCTTTTGCTAGGCATTGTAAATGTCTATCAACCTCCATCCACGACTTGTGAAACATTCCAGGTTTCTCTGTAACGTTATATTGACACCTATAATAATGTATTGTGAAGTCTTCTGTTTTGTTGCTGCACCTGAAATCAGCTGTGAAGCCACTTTGTTCTTGACCATTTTTCTAAATTGTATAACATAAAAATTTATATGCATAATAAGCTCTTCACTATCTACTTAATTTCTCATGAATTTTTCATCAAGCCCTCGTGAGACTCATTGAGCTCCGTCGGTTTGTGATACTGGCCTAAATCGGGGCAGCATTTCTCATTACAGTTAAAGCAACGGTTTGTTGACTTAATTTCAGGGATGCTTGTAGCTTAATGTCTTTTTATGAAACAAAGACATGCCTGGGTTTATAATTCTTTCATTTTATAAATCCTAAATTGTAGGTTTTATTTAAATGAGTATTTTGTGTGCTCCGAGGAACATCTTTGGAATAAAAGAGTAGATCCCTGGAGGTATTGAAACCCAACTGCCTGACAGTCAGCACTCATGTGACTTGCGAAGTTCCTCGGAGTGCAACAAGGAGGCGCCTATAGGATCAACATAATGCGCTCTCTGTGACTGAAGCAGGCCAAACACATCTCGGCTCCCCCCATTCCCAGTCCGGGGAAGCCATGGCTGCAACAGCAGCCTCCTCTGTTCCCTTACACGGCCGCTTAGCCACGTCATCACCACTCGTTTATGCACAAAAGAGACCGAGCCACCAGCAGAGGCTGAACATTCGTCCCTATTGATGCTTCAGCCAAGGCTGCTATGCACGGCTCAAGTAGAGACACAAACAGGCCCTGAAGAGGACTGTTTGTCCCAGCCGTTCAGGCTTGTGATAAATCAGATTAAAATTTTTTGAGTCTGACTTAGATGTTCACTGCTGAATCTCTTTACATGTTCAGCAAACACTACTGGGAAATATCATTAGTGGCTTTAGTGGAAGTCGCAGTATCTTCTGAAACACGTTTTGAACATATTGTCGCTTCACACAATTGATGAAAAAACGGCACTCGAAAAACAACCGCTCAATCAAAGGGGAGCCAAAACTACTCAATCAAGAACAAATAATCAATTAATAATCGAATGACATTTTTTTCATGTTTATTAAAGTTTCTTTGTTAAAATAACCCTTCTATAATATTTCCCCTGATATTTTAATGTGGCTTTTGGTCTTGCTGTACCAAGTACTTTTATCATCAAAGCTTTTTGGTGATGCCTCTGAAAGGAAATAAATATTGGCCAAATAGGATCCAGAAGTTCTATGAAGACAGACTTAATTAGAAACACTCCCATGTGTTTTGACTCACCAAGATGTTAATATGTCAGTGGGATTTGTGTTTGCTACTTCCTAAGTTCTAAGAAAGACTGGAGCAGTCCAGCTGGTTATCAGGACTGCCCTGTTAGGAATCTTGCATATGCAAAATTAAGCGTTAACATTAGAATGCACTGAATTTGTGTCTGCCATTACTTTCTGGTGAAATGCATGTTCATTAACAACAACAACCACTATAACATCTGTGTTTACACTTTCAAAATGTACTGATGTTTCACCTAACACTTTTTGAAAACAGGATTCTGTCCTGACAAATTGAGGTAACACCAACTGTTGATGTGGGTGTTAGTGTTACTAGCTAACTTGCTGCATTGAGTTGTTGTTTCTTCTTTTCCTAGGACCCAGCAGCGTCCTCTACTTTGGAGGCGGCAACAGACCCTAAAGGAGAGAGCGTGGCCATGAACTACAAGCCCTCCCCACTGCAAGTCCAGATAGGTATTGCTGCCCTCCTTGGAAATCATCACATATTTTATATCACAGGGGTCACCAATAAGCAGCCATAATAAATGGAAGGCTTTTAACAAACTGGTGAGAGATGAGCTATAAAAAAGAAATGGGATACAATGGTATGAGGAGTGCTTTGCTTCTGTACATACAGTCTGTAAAAGTGAAGGAAATAACTGGGGTCACATAGTATTTCTCAGATGGTATTAGTGAATTTATTTTTAAAAGCACTGAATTCAAGAGGTGTAAAAGATTAGTCTTTTTTTGTGTTGTTTTTTGTGTGTTTTTCGTGTGTTAGGTGCACAAAAAATGGGCTAAAATGGACAACAAACTAATGCACATTTCAGCTGTGTCCCCTAAGCAGCCAGTGGCACAATTCAGACGAGACTTCTTTTTCGGTTTTTTTAAACTTAGACTTTCTTCTTACCACTTTTTCATAAAGGCTGGTTTTACTAATGGTATTAATTATCATGTCAACAGATTCTCCCTACCTGAGCTGTCGATCCCAGAGCTGCGTCTCTGATTGATGCTCTCCTTTCCCAGCCAGTCAGCGTTAGTCTGACTAGCGTTAGTCCAAATTCAGATTTTAAGCTTCCTGTAGCTTTCACTCAGACTTTCTCTCCTGGGTCTTCATTACGCTGTAAGTTCACTAATGTTCTCTAACAAACTTCTGAGAATAGGAAATATGGATTTATTCTGAGATTAATTAACAGGTGGACTCAACTACAGCAATTTCAAATGTTTTTGCTTTAATTTTACCACAAATCAAGAAAATGTTAAAAAAAAAAGAAAAATGTTTTAGAGAAACTTTATAATTTGCATTTATTGCCATCCACAGATTATCTTAGTTTTCTTGTATTATATATCAGTAAGATTAAAAGTTGCATTACCCTAATGTGACCCCTTACTGTAACAGAAACGAAAATGTACTGTGGCCCAAAAGCAGCAGTTAACAGTGGTTCCCAGTGCTCTGGACCAAGTTAAATACTGCAGCACTCATTCATTTAACACTTCTTCCCCATTCCAAATGATACAACCCTAGAAAATGTGTCCTGCTGTGCTGATTTATTTACTGATGACTTCACATCCTTTGTTGCCTAGAGAAACAGAGGGACCTTGCCAGGAAGGCTTCGGTGAAGAATGGCACCGTGGGAAGTCCTGTCAATCAGCAACCCAAGAAAAACGCCAGGACAAGGTAGCACCTTCCTTCGCGTCTTTGTTCCGCTCTAATCTTTGAGCAGGTTATTAGCATGCTGAGTAACGCAGCAAAATACTGCAAACAACTGAAATGCAAATCATGACATCAGTGCATCCTGCTTTGTAGGGCATTAATTGCTTCACGTCAGCCAGAGACGCTATTAGATTTTCTAATGTTACAACCTACTCAATTCAATCAAGACACATAGAGGCTTCCTCAAAGAAAAAGAAATGCATGAAGGCTGATGAAGGAGCCACAACCACTGAGCATAAACCCAGCGCAGCCTGCGGCGTTGACAAGTGGCTCATGCACCTAATCCCACTCTCTTGTGGATTAGTGGGAATATGAGAAACGCTGCCCACTGGTGTGAACCCAAAATGTCTGAGGCTAAAAAATTGTTTTGCACTTTCTGCCGCCTGAATGCCACCAATTAATTTTGGGAAGAGATGATCTCATGGCTTGAACTAGAGTGCTTTTTTATTCTTCTCAGTTATATGATGTAAATATTTGCAATGATTGTTGCAAAATGGCTTTTATATGTGTTTTAAAATTTTCACTTCTAATGCAGAACATGGCTGTGCACTTTTATAGGTTGGTCGTGCCAAACAAAGGTTACTCCTCTTTAGACCAGAGCCCGGATGAGAAGCCTCTGGTTGCTCTGGACACTGATAGGTAAGCACTCCACTCCTACAGTAACCTATGCAGCTGGACAAGTAACTTTATAATCTATAGGGTGGTGCCCTTAAGAGAATCTGGCTAAACTTTGCAGACCTCCTTCTGTGTATATGGGGCTAATCTGTGGAGCGACTTGACAGTATTCTTAACAGAAATTGTCCTAAAAAATGGGGCAAAGCTTCTCCCAAGGCTCAGGATTAGAGCACAGCAGGGTGAGGATTTGGACAGGCAGAAGCAGCTCTGGGAGAGCCCTTCCTCCACCGCCCCACCCATGTACCAGCAGGTCTGTATATTTGCCAGATGAGTCCCAACACTTGTGGACCCCTTCTTTCATTTGTATATGTCAAACCCTTTAAAACAATATCTGTATTGATCCAAAGAGTTTACGTCATACACTCGCTGACAAGCTAGCTTGTTCACAACTTTTTTTAACGTTGACATTTTAGAATATGTGTGTTACACTGTTGTTTAAAGTGAAAGATAGACATATTTGTTTGTGAGAAAAAAGGTTAACTGGCTGCATTTCTGTGATATTGTTGTATTTTTTCTCAGATTTTCATCATTTTTAGCTGCCTTGAATTTTTTTCTCCATGTCTGAGTGCGGTAAAGTATCTTTTGTAGGATCTGAAACCTTGTTTACTCTTGACTTTCATGCTTTTCTTCTTGTATTCTTCTGCTTATCCTAGTGTGTTAAGATCAGAGATGCTTTGAGAAATCAGCAGTTCACCAGAATTGGGTTATTTTCAGTTAGATGTTTTTTACAGTTAACATACCAAGTCACTGCTTAAAGGAGACTCAATTACTACGTCTTGGGTGTCTGTCTGTCGAGTGTTTAAACGTAAAGCCATAAAAATGTAAGAGACATATACCACTAAAGTACAAAAAAGAATGCTGGTGTTTAAAGCTTTTTTAAACTCTCAATCTCTTTCTATTATGGAAGAGGATTTGGAAATGTGAGACCCATAGAGAAAATATCAAGTTTGGGTGAGAATCTCTATTCTCTAGAGCAGGGGTGTCAAACTCCAGTCCTCGAGGGCCGCTGTCCTGCAGTTTTTCGATGTGCCACAGGTACAAAAACACAGGAATGAAATGGCTTAATTACCTCCTCCTTGTGTAGACAAACTCTCCAGAGCCTTGCTAATGACCTATTTATTCTATTCAGGTGTGGTGCAGCAGAGGCACATCTAAAAGTTGCAGGACACCGGCCCTCGAGGACTGGATGTTGACACCCCTGCTCTAGAGCATAGTGGTTTTTGCAATGCTAGCCTATCTAATCGCTAATATGGGATGCTACAGAGAGAAAGAAAAGTGAATTGCATGAACACTCAGTTTTTAAATTCTGTTTGGTATTATCTTGGCCCACATACATAGCTTGGTATTGAATGTTTTTTCAACATCTAAGATTTGTAGAGCCTTGTGAGATCCCCTTTGTGATGCTTTTTCATCAGGGTAGTTTCCAAAGGTTATCTACTTCTCTAAAACTATGTTTTCTACTTTTTCAGAATCTTATATCTTATTTAATGTCTGATAGTAAGAGAGAAATATTGTGTCTATTTATACAGTCTATGTAAATATGTGCCTTCTGCTGTATTAGGCAGCAGGTGAATGTTTCATTATTAAAAGTTGTTGTCTTAGCAGGAAAAATGGAGAAGCATAAGGATTTGAGCGAGTCTGCTAGCTACCAAACTGCTGACTAGATGACTGAGTTAAAGCAAACCCAATGATAATGTGAGAAGTTTCCAGTATCATACGGTCAATAATAAAGTCCTGGGAAGGAGCATTGGTGATCGACAGGATCCTGGACCACCAAGGCTTACTGACTCACCAATGATTTACCTGCATGATTCGACCCAACAGACCAGCTACTGTAGCTCCGACTTCTGAAGAAGAAAATGTTGGTTCTGACAGAAAGGAGTCAGAACAAACAGTCGATTGCAGTTTGTCTTGTACAGGGGTGCATAAAGTAATACTGAATAGTCATGGGTGTAATGTTTAATTAAAAAAAAGTATATAAACTACCTTTTTTTCTTTATTCTTTCCTCACAAACACCTTTGCTTAATCAGTCTAATATTGAAAATGTTTCTGATCTCACTTTGTGTTTTGAAAAAGTAATTAAATACAATATTTTTTACAAACATGATGCAGTTCGTATCTCCTGCAGTTTCTGTTTCTAATAGTGAACAATGTTTTTCTGCTCATCTTGTTAACACCGCCATGGAGTGAATATGGAACTTTATTGTTGGAAATAATCCCATCAGGGCTACATACAGGGAAAATAAACATGACAGAGCAATTAGAGCAGACAGTGAGAACTTAAGATTAAACCACAAAATGTTATCATACATTTTTATTTATTTATTTTTTCCTTTCTGTGAAAGCCCCAACTTAAAAAAAATCTTATTTTATAGTGATTCCTTTATGGTACCATTTGTATCTTTTTGGAGTCTCACATAAGATGTTACTTGTCTTTCAGTGATGATGACTTTGACATGTCCAGATACTCTTCATCAGGATACTCCTCAGCCGAGGTGAGATGTCTGAGGGACCAGGTATTTATACAAATATTATATTGTTTCACAGCACCATCTGGCAAAACCACAACCATCGCTATGTTTTACATCACCTTCTTCCTCCTCTGTCACACTGGGTCACAAATGTGCACTCATTTAAATACAACACTTTGTTTCCACACATCACTCATGTCAGTACTTTGTCATGATTTTCATCTCTTTAAATCTTGTCCCATTTTGTTCATTCCTCTGTAGAACATCTTCTGGTTTGAGCCTGTGGCGTCAACTCATCGCCATAATAATTTGATTGCATGTTGTTGCTTTTATGTTTTATTTAATTTTGTTCGCTCCAGTCATTTGTTTACTTAAAGACCAAAGAAACGACCCGTTCATCATACATAAACGCAGAGCGGTAGGTCGAAGCAGCATGTATTTCCTCTAGGTCGAAAAAGAGAAATCTAATTTGTCAGTTTAAAATGAGCAGATTCATCATTTAACATCTATCAACAATATTAACTTTATACCTCGCTTTTGTTCAATTAATATTATTCATTTTAGTAGCACAGTAGCAAATTTTACACAGGTTTTGTTTTACACTATGAATTGAGTTACTGAAATATATAAACCTTTCAATGGTAGCTTTTAAAACACATACTCATACGTACCGTCGTGCCTGGACGACATGCCACTACTTTATCTTACATGCTTTTAACACTGCAATGTGGCTCATATGTAAATTTTCTCCAGCATGTTTTGAAAAGCTGCACTGCTGCATGAGTCTCGAGCAAATTTGCGTCAAGATGAAAGTGACAGTGAAAGAGAGATTGAGGAAGTGTGTGTGATGCTGTTCCATTCTGATATTGAAGAAGATGACTTTAGTGTTTCTAGTTCATAGGAGCAAGATGAAGATAGCGATCAATGACTTTTTCTTGTAGGCTACTGTATTTTTTTTTTCTCTTTAAGCAGCAGTTCTTAAACTGTTCAGAAAAAGCATACATATTTCATTGAGAGTGAAAACAATACATTTGTGTAAATATCTGAAGTTGCAACGTGGACACCAGGGCCTCAAAGACAAATACAATACATGCTTTTTTTCTTCTTAAAGTTAGTGGGTGTGGCTTCAGGAGCGTTCAATTGACCATTTGTAACTACTTCAATACGGGAGTATTGAACAGAGCAACTGAAATTGTTTCCCTAAGTAGTTTTTGCCAGTTTGTAAATGGCTTCTGCTTGTTCGAGTCGAGCTAATTTATCTGTGAACATTACACACCTGGTTGGTTATTTATAAAAGTTGGAAATATGATGATGTCCATCATAGCGGAGTGGGCAGAGTTCTTTAGAGCGTGACGTCAGGTGCAAAACCTCAATTGTCCGGAAATTACAGAATGCATGTTTGTGTGTCTATGTAAGAGAGCAGATTTTAAATAGGCTCACCCAAATTTTGCACCGCATGACGGACATTTGTGTCATCTGCAGACAAAACAAGTTCAGCAACAAGTATAGAACCCTGTGAGATCTCATTTGGGTGTTTTGTCATCGAGGTAGTTTCTATAGTGTTTACTACTCCTTAAAGTGATTATTTTTTCTTTTTTCCAGTGAGATTTTTTTTAATTTTTTATCTATGGTATCAGAAGTTCTTTAATAAAATGTAAACACCTCATTGTGCACTTTGTTTTTAAATGCAGATTCAATATCTTGAGTCAAAATTAGAGTCTTTGCTGTTGATCTGTTTGTTGTTAAGTTGTTGTTTTTGTTGTTTATAAATGTTGAAAGTTTAGCTTAGGGTGAACAGAGAATATTCGACAAAACTGTCATAAAGTTTTGCCGACTATATGTATTTTTTTTCTATGATTCTTTTGCAGCAAATTAACCAGGACCTGAACATCCAGCTCCTGAAGGATGGGTACCGGCTTGACGAGATCCCAGATGACGAGGACCTGGATCTGATCCCCCCTAAAGCGGTCAACCCCACCTGCATGTGCTGCCAGGCCGCCCCTTCCACAGCCTGTCAGATCCAGTAGCTGCCCCACTCCTCCTTCATCCCTAATTGTTCTTTTTTGCCAGCTGCTGAACAGAATGGCATCGAGGAGGAAAAAAAAAAACAGTCGACTTGAAAAACAGGCAAAGGCAAAACTAATAGAATGGGGGCGGAGGAAAATGAATATGTACAGTACCTGTGCATGTTCCTCCTATGGCAGGATCTGTGTGTCTTACGTCTGCGATGTTGGTACAGCGGGGATGGATTCAACTCATGGCTTAGACCTTACCTCGAAGAAAACAATGCTACTTTTGCTTCTCCTTTGTTCGAGTTGTAGCTCTTGGGGAGTTTTTGTTTTTTGCATAAAATGATTGTGCAACGTTGCAGAAGAGGAGAAGCGACAAGAAGGGACAAGAAAGAATCGGCCAAATTGCTTTTTTTTTGTCATTACTGTGTCAGTGGGCTGTCCAGGCACTCCACTTCCTCTCCTGGTATATAATTTGCGATCCAACGTGATGGAGTATAGGACATTAGGAGTTTGAACGAGGCCATTTTATTTCCAATTCTCTCATTTCTTTCACCTGGTCTGCTTCGTCTTCCCCTGTATGTGAGAACCAGACTCAAAAATGATGTGTGTGAGTTCGGTCATGCCCAGAAAAAAAAAAAAAAAAAGCAGCGTGAATGAAACACTAGTGCTCACTCTCTCAACACTAAGCTACCAGTCAGTCTGTTCTACTGAGATCTTGTCCTGCTTATATCTGTTTTATATTTAGTTATAAGAAGCAGAAAGATGCTGCGTCCTGATGCCAGATGTGCAGATATTTATTTTATTCTACTGACCCGCAACCAACTCCGTGTAGTGAAGAAACATTGTGTGCTTTGTAAAATGGAACATCGTCTGTCATATTTAGATTCACCTGCTGCCATTTTAGTAGATGTAGGGGGAGAAAAGCATCGCAGCACACGTCGTGCGTAAATCCATGTCACAGCATTCTCACACACTGAAGGTGACATCATAAGTTGTACACATGAATGAGGGAAATGAATGAAGACAGAGGCTTAGAATTGTATGTTTTTAGTTTTATTTACTGATGCTTGAACTGTGGCCAAATAATAATAGTAATGCCCCTGGTAAAGATGTGTTAAAAAAAAACCCAGAAAAACTAAATTCATCTTTCAAATTTCTTAACCAAGGAAATAATCAGAGCTGACACACGTTACCACCTGAAATGATATTTATATAAAATAAATGTAGCTGAAGAATTTCCTAATATATACATATATTTTAAGTTAAACACTTTCTAGGAATGTTTCATTGCTAATCCCCGACTTTAGGTTTCTTTGACGTGTGAATATGATCCATCCCTTACACTTACTTGTTTGCAGCGGGGCTGGAGCTTTTCTAGTGGTTAATTGGGAGGTGGTACAATGGCGCAAAACCCATCCATGCACACACACACATGCACCCACAGAGTCCTGATCTTTACCAGGGATGCCAATACTTGTGTAGGATGCAACTTATGGACAAAAGGCTGTACCTGTAGCACCAGAAACAGTTGTCATTTCATACTTCATGCCATTCTTCTTAATTTTTCTTTAGAATTAATGTACACTTTTTACTTAATATTTGAACCACTCACACACCTCTAAGTCTTAGACTGAACAATCTCCCTGTTATTACACCTTTGAAAATAATGATCCTCATGTCTCGGTCATATTGAAAAAAAAAAAAAGTAGATGTAAACAAACCAGAGTACGTGTCAACACTGCAGTGCAACCATTTATTTTATTATTATTATTTGTTTACACCTTCTTTAGTTATTCCAGTTGGTATGTTTTAGGTTGAACTCCAGATTGGCCCAAATTAATCCCATCATTTTTAGGGTGTTTACACTTTAATACAAAAAAAGTCTATGAAGCAGCAGGAACAAAAGCAACAGGCTTGTCGTTGACTCACTGAATGGAGATGGTGTGTACTGTACAAATACAAATACATTAAGTTATGGTACTGTATAGTGTAAAAATAGAGAAAACTGTATTTTGTTTCTTAATCCATCATTTTTTTTATTTGCAGATCTTTTTTTGAGTTAGCCATCCTAACGACATTATCAGGTGTTACGGGTAGAGATAATCTAAAGGACTGTTAGCTACTAATAAAAGATGACAGGAGAGACAAATTGTTTCTTTGACAATGGCGCCTCCTCTGGTTAAAATTTTTTAAAAAGCCTTAAAATTATTTTGTTTTTATTGCGAGAGCATATTCTCCCACAGAAAATTACTGCAGTGCTTCTTTTAAAAGCCTCATAGTTTTCTTTTAGTGAAGCACATTATATCTGCATTACCATCGCTATTAGCTGATGTGTTATCATTTAGCATATTACCATTTGCTTGATTAGATAACAAGGATGCAGCGCAGGACTGGAAAGATTGGGGAAATATATTGCGTATCAGTGAATATCAGTTATTGATCTTAACAGCAATCGGTCATATCAGTGCAACCACAATTTGTTTTACCTTCTTTCTGCTCCCTGGACGTTGTGACAAGGTACACTTGCTTTCTTGTACAGGCTTTTTGACTTTAGTTTTCCTTTTTATTTCTTTTTTCAAAGCTTCAATAACTGTTCTGACTGGAGAAGCTATGTTCTTGTAATTTCCTGACTTGTGTCGATTAACACGCATTTGTCTTTCTGAAATTACGAGGTTTTTTATGTTTCCAGTTTAATGAGGGAAACGGCCGCCTGCTACACATTTTATACAGCAGGGTAACAGGACGTTCATTCATTACTAACAAAAGTTACAAGACAACTGATTAACTGAAGAACGCAAAGTGTGCATTAAGTACTTCTCATCATGCAGTGCTTTTCCCCACTGAATAAAAGTTTTCAAATTAAAAATGGTACACTAAGGACGCTTTTAGTTGGAAATTTTACTTCTGCTATGAAAGATGAGTCGATTTTGAGGCTTTTTACTAATGAAAAGGAGAGGAGTGCTTTATGGTACTTTTCCATCTCGATCGTCGTTTCACTGGATGTGCATACATGTCATAATTGGCGTCCCCTGAATGCTCAAAGCTAGTCCTGTGCTGGTTCAGGCACAGCTTCACTTACTCATCTAGTCCAGAATAATAAGTTGTGTGGGTTTTTCCTCCTTTATTTTCACTTGTGGGAATTATTTTCTATAGAAACAGGCTCTTTTTCATCTGTCAGATACTTGTCATGACATGATTGTGAACTGGCTCCATTTAGATTTGAACAGTATTACAGTTCTGTGTATAGTGCAACATATCAAAAATAAATAATGGATATCTCAATGCTCTGTGTATTTTCCAGCTTTTCCTTGTATTGCATCATTATTCCCAAACAAGTTGAACTTGAGCTGAGAAACTTGGTTATTCCCAAACAAGTTCAACTTGTTTGGGAATAACAATTTCCTGTACATTTTCTTTAACCGACTTAGGGTCAAAATTTTACATACTGGCTTGAATATGAAACTACATTCCACTGAGATTTGGGAATACTTTCCTCAGCAAAGAAACCAAATGTCTTTTGTTTCTAATTATGGTCTAATTATGGCTGGATATATGATCTGACTTTAAGAAATTTGTAATGGTTTTTTTTCCTGATTTTTAAAATTTTATTTATTAAATACAAAAAAAATAAAAATTAAAACACTAGAAGTTTTTAAACTTGGTCTGATTTTGATGCCAACCAAAGAATTGACACTCTACAGATTTTGAATAGAATCTGACCAAAGTCATTTTCTTTCGAGTCCAAAAAAAGTAAATAATTCTACTATAATTACAAAGCTTTTTTAAAAATAAAAATTGCTCTAACAATTAAGAAATTGTTCCAGCAATTGCTATATTTGAATATAAAAATCTGAAAGGAAAAACATTTAAGAACCCTGGAGTTCATTGGTTTACTAACACATATTCAACTTTTGATCGTTTTTAATACCAATATGATAATTTTGGAGTTATATTAGAAACTTAAAGTCAGTCTTTTCTATTCACTCCACAGTAGTTTTGCAACGCTCTATCTTTTTGGAGCATCCACATGTCTCATCACAAAACAGAAACACAGCAAATTAGGAACCACCATGATTCAAGCCTGAGATAAACTGGAAGATGCTGAAATAGCATTTTCATGCTTCACAGGAAAGTTTCATTTCGCTATGAGCTGAGAAACAAAACACGATAAACAAAAGGTCCCTACTCGAAAACTGCTTAACCCTAAGAAGCAATTCTTAAAGGGGTTGTATGTAAACATTTGAACCTGTATGCATGATTCTGACCATAAGTGGAGTCGAAAACATTCACAATAAATTCAACTCTAGATAAATAACTTTGATGAAAGTGCCAAACTTACTCATGCTGATGGTGATTATCTGTAAACTTGTAGTCAGCATTATGGAGGTGTAGAGAGTGTGAGGGGTTGGGGTGGCGCACACGCGATTAGCCTGGAGTTGATCCCTGGGGAGCAGATGGTGAATGGTGGCTTACCTACAGGCTCTGAGTCCCAGGAGTTAACAGGAGTCTGCAGTCACGTTGGAAGATACAATGCTGGCTTTAAAGAAGTCTTGAGGACCGTGTCTCATGAAAGAAGAAAGGTAAGCAATTTACCCATATTTAAGCAGAACATAAATAAGTTTACTTTATAGTGGTTGCTACATTTGGTAGCTTTAGACAAGCTACCATCATCTTTTCTTCCACTTAGTAGAATATTTCAGAGAGTGATCAAATCATTGGTGTCTTGTCTTCTACGTTCTGCTGAAGTTCTCCAGCAAACACATATTTGGTCTTAGCTTCCTCCTGGTGGTCTTGTGTTTAATCAACCACCTCATCTTATAGACTGGGTTCACATCAGACGTGATGTTGCTGAGCAGTGCTGCTGTTTGGCTGCTGCTCTGTGTTGGGTGCCTGCATGGCTCTGCCCTCCCTGCCATGTCCTCCTATGAGTTCACCGCCTACAGGATGCAGCAGTACAACCTGGCGCATCAGAAACATGGTAGGATCAAGTAAAGGACATCATACATCTTGCAAGCAAAACAAAAACAAACAAAAAACATTCCCACAGCATAATGCTGCCTGCACCACAAGTCACTGTCTTTAATTTGCCTTGCTTTATGTTGTTGTGTGAGGCTGCCGTGGAGCCATAGTTGTGGCGGAGGCGCGCTCTGCCGACGAACCGTCGCTGACCCGCCGTTGTGTCGTCATGAAGGTTCAGGACTTCACTGTGGAGAAATACTCTGAAGCCCTGAGACAGAATGCTGCTGCTGTGCTGATTCTACTGCCTCAAAATATCTCCGGCGTTCCACACCAGACAATAAAGGTAAAACCCGAAAGTTTGTCTGTGCTCTGAAAGCGGATTAAACGAGATCCTAATTGGTTAAAACACTCGCTTCACGTCTCAGTCCTTCATGGTGAGTGAGAACGAGGCCTTGCAGAAAGAAACTCTGACTCCAGTCTACGTTGTCCCTGAGGATGAACAGCTGCTTTACATGTATGAGGAGGTGAGGCAGGCTGCAGCTTCACGGACCTCATCCATGCTTGTCAGAGGTAAAACAGACAGTGATGTTTTCTATAAAGGTGTATGCTGCAGTGATGGACGGGTAGATATGTGTGGACAAGGACGTATTTATAAGGATGTGGGCCACCAGGTTGCAGCCAATCCAGCAAGGAGAAATTCCTTTACAAATTACAGGACACAAATGAGTAAAAGAAAGAAGAAAACTTTTATTTCGAGACAAAAGAAGTCATCCATGAGAAAAAATAAATAAATGAAAATAAATAATAAAATATTATGTATTATGTATCTGTGCGCACGGTCTTTACTGGGGTCCGCCATACCTGCCGGAATCTGTCCGGTATGTTGACATCCGACTCGTAAGGACCAAAATTATGGTAGGGTTAAATACCTGTTGAACATATTTAACAAAGACAGAAAAGACAAAAGAGTCAGTATTCTTGCTACTCGCGAGGAGAACGGACAGAGATGTGCTCCAGTTACAATCTCCTACCGCTCTGAAGCACATTTGTCCGCTCCTCTCCTTTTATTGTTTTCAGGATCCCTAATCACAAGGACACTGTAGTTTTAATGGGAGGGGGAAACAATTCATCACACAGCTACAGTGCCAGTTCTCATTTCCTAACTAAGTGTTAGGGATCTGTGTTTCTTTATCTTTGAAGCAATGATTCTGTCACCTCGGATGGCCAGGGCTACATCCAGCCTGATAGGAAGAATGGGTCGTTTACATACAACCCAAAGTCTCAGGAACTGAACTTTACGACCCCAGAGACAGCAAACAACTGTAACCTCAGGAGATGCAAAGACAGTACCTTGAGAATGTCTATTGTGATCGCCTCTCCTTCTATGCATCACAATTATCTTGCATGTGATAATCTCGTTCTGGACATCAAACAGAATAGGTAGTTAGTCTTCACAGTAACAGTTTTACAACATTCCAGCAACTCAACAAAACAGAAACATTCTTAATCCTATAATGAAATTAACTTAAAGGAAAATATAAAATAAAGATACATTATAAAGATCAATGAGAATAACAAATATCTGATTAATTATATCACAATTTCTCCAACATTTTGTAAAAAAGGATGGTGTTGAAGCATGGTAGAATTATTATGTCCTGTAGCCAGTAACTAAATGTTGTTCCCAAAGAAATCAACTAAAACTTAGAAGTTTTTAAAACTTTTTTATTTAAAGTACAATATTTGCAAAACACCCTATGAAAAATGGGGCTCTGGTCCATCTACATCTAAACCCTTTCTTAGTCTGGCCCAGTGTGTGGAAGCCACAGGATGAATGGGAATTTTGTAATAAATCGATTGCAGTGAGAGAGAAAGAGCTTCAGAAACTTTTGACTGAAAATGTTTCTACTGTTCGCAGTTCTTCGAAGTATGGTCACTGCTACAGCATTCCAGATCTTAGTGAGCAACAACAACGCCATTAAGGCCATCACTGACAACACCATAACCACGCTGGAGGTAGGAGCTCAACTTGACATAACATACCGGCTACTGGAAGTTTCAAACCAATCTTTTTTACGGTTTCTTTAAAAGTATCTTTTCCTTGAAGTCCTGCTCCTGTCCGGTCTGTGCAGGGTGTGCTCCCTGGAACCGGAGAGGATGCTCCCACCATCGTCATCACCGCCCACTATGACTCATACGGACTCGCTCCGGTGGGTTGGCCATTAACAAGTTTACAAGTTCAGAGCGTTGACCCGTGAAATGGTTTCAACCTTGGTTTGAAAATCTCCATCCCGCTTAAAAGCTCAGGTCTTTCACTTCAACCCGGCACTTAAGCTTGGATGTGTTTGTGTAAAACAGTGGCTGTCATATGGAGCAGACTCTAATGGCAGCGGAGTCACCATTCTGCTGGAGCTGGCCCGTCTTTTCCAGAAGCTTTACAGCACCTCCGGTACCAGACCACAGTGAGTTCGAGTTTACTCACGAGTCGTGACATAACTCCAACTAGAAAGCATTAAGAATGTGGGTTTTAATAAGGCCTCGATTGGTCAAATTTAATGCCTCAAACCAGGATGCTAAACTCCTCAATGGAAGATCGAAAAACAAGCACAGAACCTTAAAAACAAAGTATTTACACCTACATTCGGTCACTTTATTGTTGTTGTTGTTTTTAAAAAATTCATATTATAATGGAACAAAATAATTTCTTGAGTCCAGTTAAGACACAGAACGACACATTGTCATATATTTTCACCACAACTTCAGCTTCCCAGGATGCATAATGTGAGCTTGATGAATTCTTTTTGAAGGAAACTGTTACGTTTTATTATTATTATTGGTGGAAGTACTCAACAAAAATCCTTAAGACGATTGTCATTTATATTTTAGATATAATTTAATGTTTTCCTTGACCGGAGGAGGAAAATACAACTTCCTCGGCACGAAGAGATGGATTGAGGAAAATCTTGATCACGCCGGTGAGATCACAGCCTGTGATTGTGAGCCGGAAATTAATCCAAAGAAATCACCATTAATAATTAATATTAAAGCCCAACCTTTCTCCTACAGAGTCCAGCCTGCTTCACGACAATGTGGCGTTCGTCTTGTGCTTGGACTCGCTGGCCAAAGGCGATGAACTCTACATGCACGTGTCTCGCCCTCCGAAGCCTGACACTCCTGTGAACTCCTTCATTGAACAGCTGGAGGAGGTAACCGCTCTTATTGTGACGGGACGAGAAAGCATAAACATGTCTTGTCTGTATTAATGGTGTTGTGTGGTTTACCCCCTAGGTGGTTTCCTCCAGATTCCCCTGGGTCAAGGTGGGATTGGTGCACAAGAAGATCAATCTCGTCGAGTCGACGGTGGCCTGGGAGCACGAGCGCTACAGCCTCCGGCGGATCCAGGGCTTCACTCTGTCTCACCTGGAAGATCCCAAGTCTGAGCTTCGTGGGTCTATGCTAGATACAATGTATGCTTGACTTTATTTTTGTCTTATTGAGTTGTTTGAAGAATATGTAGATTAAAAAAAATATATTTTGTTTCTAATTTTTTGTATTTGATAATACATAATTATGTGTAAAATAAAGATAAACTAACGCAGAAATGTATATCGTTCTTCTGCATATCATCTTCTAGGTCCCAAGTCGATTTTAGGAAACTTAAACGAAACGGCATTATCATCGCTGAAGCTCTGGCCCGGTACATGTACAATCTCTCAGACAAGGTGAATAAAGACAGTCTATTTTGATTATGTATATGTAAAAATAAAAAATAAAAAAAATCATATTTATATTTTAATTTGTTGTAAAAGCACATTGATCTGTGACTATTTTTGTTTTCAGGGCTCACCAAGGGATATTCAAGTTTTTAAAGGTCAGCTGGTGAGTTCCTTGTTCTTTTGCTCCAGGTGCTGCCCTCTGGTGTTCATACAGAGATATTACAGCGTGCTTGAATTTTCCAAAAGCACTTCTTCTGTATCAATAAAATGCCATGTCGATTTCAATTATTTGGCGCCACTAAAGTGCAAATAGAAAACTTTTATCACGAAGCAGCTTTGTAAAAAGTAAGATGAAAAACATCTCCAAACTGACGCGGACATAAATGTATTAGCTTTTTATCTTTTTAGACTTAAATGACGTTAGACATTATCGCGAGACCGCCGTTGTGAACCCTCATATTTGGTCCTCAATGCAGGACTTTCAGGACAGCCGGATGTCCAGTTTGATGTCCTTTTTGACCTCTGTGCCCCGGGCTGCCCAGCTGCTGCACAAGGAGCCCGGTCAGATCCTACTGGTCAACTCACTGGAGCACGAGTTCAAGCACTACCTGCAGCAGGTCCATAGGCACACCTTTCGACAGGACAAGAGGTGAAATATGCAGTTGTCTTTGTGTTTCATTCGACAACTCAAAAGCAACACAGCATCCTCACGATTAACGTTACCTTTTCACGCAGGGACCCTGAGATCACCTTTTTTGATCAAATGAACCAACCAATTGTCATGTACAGGTAAATATCTGTGCCAAAGTGACTTTTGTGTATATGCGGAAAATGGTTAAAGATTCGTAAACCAAAGCAAACCTTTCTCAGGGTGAAGCCAGCAGCGTTTGATCTGTTCCTTGGAGGATGCATCACTGCATATTTGGGGATTGTTTACTATTCAATCCAGGTGAGTTGACGTACATTTCACAAAGCGTTTCTGCAGCTATCTCAACAGTTCTGTGACATACATACACAAAAGAAATTGGATTCCAGTAGCCTGATGAAAACTGGTCCCTCTGTGCTACACTTTGCTTCATACAGAGAGACTGGCTTCTTGGCTAGTGAGAAAGGATTGCTTCCTGGAAGAGTGGTCTGTGTTGAGGTTTTGAATTTTACCCAGTTGCTAACGTTTTCCCCTAAGAAGCTTACCGGAAATTGCTAGCGCTGCAAACAACCATCCTTCACTGTGAAGAGAGAGCTGCAGACCAGGATGGGGTAAATGTTAATGTTAGTACAATATTTGGAAGCACGGTCAGCACGGACTGAACGACTTTGTTCACTTACTCTGCTGCCTTTGCTAAAACTCCAGGCAGACTACAATTCTAAATCAGCCCAGAAAATCAACGTCATTGTTCACATCATCTCCTTCTGTTCACTGTTTGGCCCAGTCAAATCGACCACAGAATCCAAGTCAAATGGAGAAAACCCAGAACGTTTTTGAGAAGAATTGCACAGCAAGGCGATGGCCAGGCTAGGACTCCATTAGTACATATCTGAAGCCTGTCAAAAGTATTCTGTAGAGCAGGCATGTGAAAAAAGGAGTCGGGGCAGATGAGAACCAAAACTGAACCGTTTCTTTGTACTGTTTCTTCACTGTGGAGCCGAAAACTAACAATAGATACCAGAAAACTCGACCCCCCACCGGAAGACGGCATCATGCTGAAACTCCTTAGTATTGAAACCCCTTTTTTACAAAATGTAAAAAGGGGTTTCAATATTTTTGCAAGATGTTTTGTTTTAAAGCCCTTGCCAATAAGGAGGATTAAAATAATAAGTTTTCCACCTGTTTTCTCTTGCAGAATTTCGGGCATCTGTATGCTAGACTCAAAGCTGCAGTGAAAACCAAACATCAGTGACAGCTTCAAGGATACAGGCTTTACGGCTTGCTAAGCTCATGACAGACGTCTGCGTCACAGAACATTAAAGCAATCCAGCACTAGGTTTCCCAGAGTAAGACAGGAAGTGTGAATTTGCATTGTGACTATCAGATGTTCAAAGATATGTATGGTCCTTAGAAAGGACTTTCTAGAGAGTCCTAAAAAATATGCAAATCGAGAAATAAAAGTGTTCTGTCGTCAATCCTGCTGACGGTGTGAATAACTGGGATCTGACGTCCAATCGATGAAATGCATTTTCTCTCACATTACTATGATCACTCGACATGACGTGTGTGTGTGTGTGTGTGTGTGTGTGGTGGTGTGTGTGTGTGTGTGTGTGTGTGTGTGTGTGTGACTGAGCTTCGATGCAGCTCCCAGGCGAGGTTCAACCACTGCAATGGACACTCAGCCAGTTCCTGTCACAGATAACTCAGTGAGATTGCCACAGACACAATGGCCCCCGCAGTGCTCCACGAATTATTAATGCTTGTGTGACGTGCTGACAGTCATTGATTGCGGTAGGGTTCTACAGGTTTCTTTTAATTTTTTTTTTTTTTTAGTTCTTCAGCTATGCTCAGACCGTTGAAACTTAAAAGCAGCTGAACGGCTGTCAGTGCATGAAGTGAGGGCTGTGTTGTTGATCGGGGCCCTAGGAGCTATGGAAGCAGGTCAAGGGCATTGACCCCAGATATGCGAGTCTCTGCAGGGGGCTTAAAGCTCAGGGAGATTAGTGAGTGCTCAGGTGGCACACAGAGTGTTGTTCTGCTTCAGCAGGGATGATCTGAACCTGTCCAAAACGGACGAGATTCTTCACAACAGCAACAGGCCAAAGCAGTCGTTTGATCTGTTTTAAATCTGCATAGGATTGATGTATTCTGTAGTGATGCAAAATAAGAAATAAAAATAAACAGGTGTTGTGGCACCTTAGATTCAGAGTAAGTGACATACAGCCATGAAAAAAAAGATTAAATGCATACTACTACAACAATTATGTAATCTTCCCAGAAGTAAAAATAGAAGCAGGGAAAGCGTTGGGGAGCAGATATAGGTAAGGGGCGGAGCTTACAGGATACTGCATGACTTTCAGGTAAACTGGAGGTAAGGTGTGGATAAACAGTGAGACGGTTTCTGAAGATGGGTCCCCAGCTCTACCTCACAATGTACAAGGAGCATTTCAGATCTCCGGGCAGAGCAAAAAAAGCTGAACTTCGACCCACCTCAGCCCACCGCAGGAACAACCCTCAACCCCGGCCGGTAAGATGGACAGCCCAAAAGCATGAGCTTTTTTATTTTATTTTATTTTTATTGTGGACACACAGTGATTTGACTCTGATAGGAATAGAGGGCTAATAGGTATTGTTTGATGTGACATGATTTCTGTTTATTTTGAAGAAATAAATCGAAGGTGAAATCGGGTTTGTGGAACATTATGCACTTACAATATGCTATGTGACTGAAAATAAAAGAAATGTAGAGGTACAGATCATGCAAAGATTTTTGTTCCCCCAACACTTCTTTTCTTTTTAAATTTTTAACATGTTCCACAGTGTTTAAGAACATGACAAATGTCTAGCAGCGATTTAGGAACATTTTTTCTTCTTTTATGATGTGCCAAATTGAGCTGTAAACATCAAATCAGTCATAACGCTGACTGAATTGCATGCATTTTGTTTATACAAAGAAACAAAATACACTTTCTTTGAATATATATAAATATATGTATGTAGAAATATATGTATGCATAAACATTATTATTTATTGAAACTATTCCCGTTTTGTCGCATTGAAACCACAAACCTCAAAATGTACATCTAAACATTTTAAAAAACATTCCTAATGAACCTTAATTGGATTTAAGTCTGGACTCTGTCTGGCTTGTTTGGACACAAGGATTTGCTCTGGCTGTCTGTTTACAGTTATTGTCCTGCAGGAAAGTGAACCACCATTCAATCTTTTGCAAACTCCATGAGGTTTCCTCGCTGGATGATCCTGTTTTCAGGTGCATTGTCAAGTCAAACCAGCTTCCATGTCCTTTCTGAAGAAAATCATCCCCACAACATAATGCTGCCACCACCCTGTTTTGATGTGGAGATTGAGATCTATATTAGCAGCAGCAGAAGTAGTAGTAATTTTATGCCACAAACAAGATTTATTTAGAGGCCGAAAAGGTTTACACTGGACTCCTCATGTATTTTTTTCTAGTAATTTCTTCTTGCCTTTTGTAAAGGTCAGATTTGTGTTGTGCACAATTAGTAGTCGCCCTTTCAACAGATTCTGCTAGCTGAGTTCTTGACCTTTGACCTCCAGAACTAAAGTGGCCTCTTGTTTGCTTCTTTGATTGATGCTATCCTTTTAGAAAAAAAAGAATAAATCCCCCAAAAATTCAAAAACATTTTGTGGTTGTGATATGACAAAATGCATCTAGTCCAATGACAATCAATATTTTTGCGAGGTGCATAAAAACCGAATACGAGTGTCCACACAAAGTTTGCGTTAAAGTGAGAGTTTGCTAACTTTAGTTTGCAGGTTTCCTTCTTCAGATTTCTTTGTTTCCAATTTCTATTTGTCTCCACAGGACTTCCTGTTTCCCCGCAGTCTTCGGTCGAACTGCAGACCAACGCGCTCGCTACTCCTCCCTTCACCCCCTGTGGACACGGGCCGGCCCCTTTTCCCCCCTGTGAGCCATTTTTCAGCTCACAATCCTGTCTTAGCTTTTCCTGAAAACCCTTTAGGCAAAACAAATTCTGACAGCCCACATCACATGCCTCCTATCAAGGCCCACAAACTCCAGCTGATAAAGACTCCTGCTGCGAGTGACGGTCAGGTTCCCACCACTCTGAGGAGCCCTGATAAGTAATTATTAATCAGCTCCCCGTTTTGCTTAAAGGTAACTATGAACACATTCTGACATTGATGGATCTGCTCTGCAGGACAGCAGGTTATCAGAAGAATGTCAATCCACTCTCAGCACGACAAATCAGGCAAGTAAACAACCTTTGAACTGAAGTGACATAGAGTTCCTTGCATTTTTGTAGTTTTTCACCACATTCCTTTCACAAACAGAGGAATATTGTGATGGGAGGACCAACACAAAGTAGAGTAATTGAGAAGTGAAAATAAATTTTGTTGCAAATAAAACTAAATCATTGCAACTCTGCCTGTTTGCTGTAATGGTCTCTGAGGTCCTCACATTATGTGATTCAATTACACAATTAGAGTCTGTTTACTAATCCTGTGACTTCTGTTGACAATTTATTGCATTGGATTTTTGTGAAAATGTAAATACAAACACTCACCACACTGCTCATATTGTTGTGCTAAAATTTAGAGAAAATCATGTCGAATGTCCCTTCCACTTTGCAAGCATCAACTATTTTGTGTTGGACGATAAAAAAAAAACAACACACACACACACACACACACACCACCACACACACACACACACACACACACACACCCCCCCACACACACACACACACACACACACACACACACACACACACACACACACACACACACACACACAAAGCAATAAACAATTTAGTTTTATTGTAGCAAATCAAGTAGAATAAATACTTTTGCAAAGCAATATAGCATATTAAAAAAAAAAACTGACAGTAAGATCTCTGCTTTTCAACAGACCACAAGCAGGAGTTCAGTTTCAGACGAGACCACAAACGAGCAACCCTCCTGCAGCTGCAGCTCCTCTCTGCTTTGTGCGGACGCCTTACAGGAAATGTTGCTCGACCAGAACTCAAGATTTTAGGTGCGCATTCTCTTGCATGTATCATATTTAGTTTTCTTTGTTTATTGGAAGAGGATGAGGACTTTAATATTGTTCCTGAAGTCTGACTTTGATCCTGTGCTTTGCCAACAGCGACTGCTACAGCTGCTTTCATGTAGTGAGGCCCTGCCAGGCTGCTCACTACGTCATACACCCAGAGTTTGTCTCTGAAAGCCTTTATTAGGAACACCGGAGGTTGCCCTGTTCCAAGCTGGGGAGATTCAGAACAAGAGTCTGTTCAGCTATTCTCTGCTAATTAACCACACCACTCCTGGCAGAGCACCATGCGGACTTTTAAATTTCCTTTTTAAATAAACAGCAATGTCTTTCCAAGGGTTGGCTTGTCACGATCGAGTTGGATGAAGAATAGTCGCTCTCTTGTGGTTCCAGTGCAACCGAATATTGTATTGCATTTATACTTTTGCCACATATGTGAAAAATTTCTTCCAATATTTGTTCAGCAGAGAAAATTATTTTTGGAAATGTTCACATTTGTTTTTTTTAGTAGATACATTTTTTAATGGGACCATTGGCATACAATTTCTCTACACATACAAAGACATTGAGACAGTCAAGCTCACAATTGAATAATATGTGATTGAGTTTTAACACTGAGGCAGAAAGCAAAGATAACTTATTTAACTACAGGTGAAACATGTCGAAGCTGCCATCCCAAGACTTAAATAAATGTCAATCTGCTTTCTTATGGGACACGTTTGTTCGATCCAATCAACTTGAATGAATCTTAAAATATGGATATTGAAATAATAATAAAATTGGTTTTTTTTCTAACATTCTTCATTCAGTATGCAACAGGTAAACGAAGTATCAAAGGTTTTCTAAGTTTGAATATTTCAGAGCTACATAAAATTAACAGCAAGTGTTTTCAAAATCTGAAATGAACAATTAGAAAACAGTAAACATGCTCACAGTTTCTTTTGCACTTTGTATGTTGGAAACTGTGAATTCTGTGTGGTGATTAAACGACTGTGGGTGGCCAAATTGAAGGCGCAGTGTGAAATGAAGAGCATCGGTTCTCCACCTGGACTACATTTCCCTTGTCAGTGTGGGCGTGGATGAAGGCGGGGTCAACCCAGCGCGTTTGGGTTCTTCTCTTGAACCTTTTTTTTTTTTTTTTTTTTTTTTGAGGATTGTAGCAAACAGACTCCAAACCGCTGAGGAGATCGCTGCAGATCGGTAGGGGCGGAAAAACACACACACACACACTTTTTTTTGTTGTTGTTGTAAAACGAACTTTAACAAAAATCTGAATCTGAACGAGAGATACGAGCATTTTGCACTGATCCCGTGTTGTTGTTTTTTCTTTAACTTTCTTTTACACCACCCATAATGTCGATTAAAAACAAAACAAAAAACAACGGATCGTTCTTCCCACATTGGCTGCTAAATTAATAGTTTATGTTGTTCATCCATAACTTGTGTTTTGGTGTCTTTAAAGTTGCATTTTCTTAACGTGTTATTGTCATCTGTAAACATGGTAAGTGGGGAGGGAAAAAAAAAGCCACATCACAAGTGAAGATTGTTATTTTATTGCTTTCTTGCTCTATTTATCTGTGTATTAAGTGTGTGATATTCAGCTCTGCAGCGTGTTGGTGTTCAGTGTTATTGACTGTGTCCATAATTAGCATGCGAGAACACGCTGGGAACACCGAGACCTCAGCCTTTTTTTTTTCTCTCTTTCTGTCTGTCTGTAGTTTGACTGGAGCAGCTGCACCGACTGGATCAGCACTTCTTCATGTTTCCCCTCCATGTCTGATAATAAATCAGCTGAATTGACAGATGTGAGGCCACTGTAAACAAACAAATGAGACTAAAAGGGACTGTAAAGCACTTCTTTACAGCACAGTAAAATCAAATGAGTGTTAGACTTTTAATGACTAATTTTGATTGGTGTTGCTTGGTTGGTTCGTGTATAAATGAGGTTATTGTTTAAAAAAAAAGGATTCTGCTTCATAGAATTGATTTAAATTAAATGTCAAAAGGTGATGACTTCCAATGATGGTGGATCAAAGTTTCTAGAAGTTTTCGAATTAACCCCGTCTAGGTCATCATGTGTTTTGTTCCAGCATGGCCTTTATATTTTTTAAACACTTTTCTCACTTAAAGCTAGAAACGATTCGGTCCGAGAATGTATTTATTTATTTTTTTTCATTTTGCGCTTGTGCTCAACTCTAAAGTTCACGATTCTTTGGAAGCTAAGGAACAACTTGTTATTGTCAGACTGAATAAAAACTCAGGGTCTCCAGCAGAGACCAGTCAGCAAGTAATAGTAGTGTGCATAATTGTAAAGTGGAAGGAAAGTTATTTGCAGATTAAAATCAAAAAAGTATGTTTTGCCTTGCATTTTTTGAATAGGGAGCCTCCACCCCTATCTCAACACTTTTGCAATTTCTAACAAGTTTCCCTCTAGGTGTGTGACCTTTATTTATCTCCATTCGTTCCTCCTTCATTGGCCCTGCTGAGAGAAGTGTTGCCTCAGCATCTTCCTGTCACCGCCGTGTGTTTGAGTGTCTGCAGCACTTCCTGGGCCTCTTTGCTGCTGCTTTCAAACCTCCTTGATTTGCCTTTTTAAAAACACAATTTGCTTCCCTCACACTTTAATTACACATTAAACTATGTGTGGGTCATAAAATTCCAATAAATCTCACTGAGTCTTTCTGTTTCACCGCATTCCCTAGACTTTTTTTAATGTTCTGCTGGCAGTACAGAACATTCAGAGAACTTAAACACCTTCACTCCTCTGTGTTTTCATATTCAGTCTGTTCTGATTAATTGCATATCAAACCAAGTTGCTGTTTGATTTGCTGTGAGGGACAGTAACATTTACATAAAACTGGTAATGTAGCTTTTTCTTTGTTCTCTTTAGTGTCAGAGTCTCTCAAGTTTTGTCACATTTGACTGCAGTGATCCAGGTTGTGTCCAGTTTGCCAAAGCAGGAGTGGTACAACGCAGCGTTCAGTATTTCTATCTTGTCTCATTGGCCTTTGCAGGGCTTTAAGACTGAAATCCCTCTTTTCTGCTTCTTTATACTTCATTCCATACAAATGAGTTGTTGTCAATTGAACCCATGTGTTAAAATTACTTTCAGCAGCATCAACTTAGTCTCTTTAGGGCCAATTTGACAAAGATTTGTTTTCTTAAATCTCAAATACATCATTAAAGTTTACAACCTGACCAGGCTAATACCTTCAAGAGATGTGAAATCACTTTGTTCAGCATTTCAGAGCATGTAAAAGCCAGAGCTTGAAGTGTATTGTAAGCTTTGAGCCAGTATAAAAAAGAGAAATGTAGAGCACAGTTGTTCTTTTTTAAAAAAAAAACAACCATGCTCATTTTTTCTAGATTTTTGAGATGGTTGAGTTTTGTTTTCTTTAAAAAAAAAAAAACCCTCTGTTATCTTGTTTCCCCGACAAACTGCAAACAGATGTGACGACGCGCCTAAAGTCCAACCAGAGGCTCCCTGCTCAACATTTTTGATGATCTGCACAACATCACCTCAGGGATTTGGCCTCTAAACAACACAAGCCATGTACCAAGTGGTGCCCGGCGGTGCCGGGGGCACGATTACAGATGTTATCCCCAAGCAGAAGCACACCAAGGATTCTCGATCTTTGGTTGGAGCCGGAGTCATCGGCCTGTTTCTGGTCATCGCAGCCGTGGCTGCCTGGTGTTACTACATAGCCTCCCTGCGCAAAGCTGAGCTGCTGAAGACTCAGCTGCTGGATCTCAATAAGGACGGCTACATTATCCGCAACCAGGGGGGGTCCATCGTCTTCAGAATGGATTTCAGGTTGGTAATTTTTTTTAAATGTGTGTATGTGTATATATTTATATGAGTACAACTTACTGCGGTACATAGGCTGCACCTCAGTAAGTTAGAGTACTATCTGAAACTCAGTTTTATTAGATTCAAAGAGCAAAACCTATAGATGGTCCACCCCTTTGCCCAAAATGTTAAAATAAAAATGCTTTTGACCTCTTCCTATGAAATGATTGTGACACTTATCTTTTCCTGACCAAGCATGTATAATCTCAAAATTTTACTAATTAATTTCTTCCAAACATATACGGGAGATGAAATGATCATAAAAAGAGATTACTTATATTTTCTGGAGACACACAAAGTGATAAAGAAATGACTTTGGTTAAATTTAACGTTATAGATTACAACTAAGAGTTATTGACCCAGCTGCCTGGTAAAGTCTGGTATCACAAAAGACCAACATAAGACCATTTAATACACAGATTGTGACCTATACAACCTTAGGAAAGGTTGCTAACTTGTCCGTAGTGCAGCAGACATTCACTGCCACCCTGTCTGATGGGGGTGTTAGTGTTTTAGATGACTGTCTTAATGCTACTAACAATCCCAAACTCACAAATTATTTTGAGAATGAGAGATTTTTTTATAAAACAGAATAGCCAGAAATGTATTTCCATGTACAGTACAAGATATGACAAGAGTACTTGGCTGAACTGAATGTTGTGTTTTCAGTGCTTAGAAGACAATATCACAATTTGAAAGTAATTTCCGATAGAAGTTAAATTAAATGATCTTCCTATTTATTGCAATATCATTAGTGTTTTTGTTATCAATAAAAGACTGAAAATCAAATGACTTTTTAATCTTGACAGATCAGGGACCCTGGACTTGGACTCCTGCTCCAAAGAGGAGGAAATTCTTCGTTGTGTTCGGACCACTGACAGGAAGCTCAAGTTTTTTATAAAGACAGTGCGGCCCAAGGACACTGTGCAATGCTATCGTGTCCGCTGGGAAGAACTGGTCCCCAACATTCCCGTTGAGCATGCCATGACTTACAAGTTTGCACACTGGTATGGTGGAGCAGTGTCAGCAATTCAGCACTGGCCTATTTCTATTTCAGGCCAACAGGCTCCCAAGCCCTTTGTCACGAGCGACATTTACTCAAACCGGGAAGAATTTGGAGGAATTTTAGAAAGTTACTGGTTGTCATCCAATGCCACTGCCATCAAGATCAACAACTCTGTACCTTTTCACCTTGGCTGGAATGACACAGAAAAAACCATGTACTTCCAAGCAAGGTATCATGACACCCCTTTTAAGCCAAACCCGGGTGAGGCTCCTTGTGCTGAACTGAGCTACAGAGTCTGTGTAGGTTTGGATGTGACATCCATACACAAGTACATGGTTCGGAGATACTTCAACAAACCATACAAAGTACCTGCCAAAGTCATGTTTGAACATCCTATTTGGTCGACTTGGGCTTTATATAAGCGTGACATTAATCAAGAAAAACTTTTGACGTACGCTGCCAACATTCGCAAGTACAACTTTAACTGTAGTCATCTAGAGCTCGACGACCGCTACACAAAACGTTATGGAGATTTCGAGTTTGACCCAGTCAAGTTCCCTAATGCATCTGAAATGTTCCAAAAGTTAAAATCGGATGGATTTCTGGTGTCTCTGTGGATTCATCCTTTCGTTAACTATAACTCTGAAAACTTTCACCCTTTGGTAGAACGAGGGTTGTTTGTCCGAGAGCCAACAGGACGGCTGCCTGCATTGGTTAACTGGTGGAATGGCATTGGCGGCATCTTGGACTTCACCAACCCAGAGGCCCGGGAATGGTTTGCCTCCCAGCTACGTTCACTGCGCTCAAAGTACGGGGTGTCCTCTTTTAAATTTGATGCAGGGGAGACAAACTACTTGCCTTGGAAATTTAGTACAAAGAATCACATTCGCGACCCCAGTTTTTTCACAAGGCGCTACACAGAGATGGCTATTCACTACAATGATCGAGCTGAGCTGCGCAGTGGTTACCAGTCCCAGAACATATCCTGCTTCTTCAGACCGATTGATAGAGATTCTGTCTGGGGTTATGAGCTGGGCCTCAAATCTCTCATCCCCACAGTGCTCACCATCAGCATCCTTGGGTATCAGTTCATCCTGCCAGACATGATCGGGGGCAACGCTTACCTGAACCACACAAGCGGAGATCGGGCATTACCTGATCGAGAACTGTACATCCGCTGGCTGGAGCTGTCTGCCTTCTTGCCTTCGATGCAGTTTTCTGTACCTCCATGGGAATATGATAATGAGGTGGTGGAAATTGCTCGGAAATACACAGCCATTCACGAAAGTATTGTGGCACCGCGGGTCCTCGAGCTGGCAGGGGAGGTTTTGGACACCGGGGACCCAATCATACGGCCACTGTGGTGGATTGCCACTGGGGATGAGACAGCCTATAAAATTGATTCCCAGTTCCTGATTGGGGACGACTTAATGGTAGCTCCAGTTCTAGAGCCTGGAAAGCAAGAACGAGACATATATCTACCCGCTGGGCACTGGAGAAGCTACAAGGGGGAAAGATTTGACATCAAGGAGCCGCTGCATCTCACAGATTATCCGGTAGACCTGGATGAAATTGCCTACTTTCTTTGGGTTTAGCAAGAAAGAAAATGAAAGACTTGATCATCTCAAACACCTTTCATATTTTGTCACTCTACAAGCATAAAAGTAAATTTTTTTCATGAATTTTTATGTGTTGATTTCCCACAAAGTATTACGTAATCTAACCTGAAGTAAAAGGATGCATGGTTTTAAAAAAATTCTGCGGCTAGGAGTGTAATTATCTTTTTTTTTTCTTGCTTTTCACATCCAGAGACTGAAATGTTTCTCCAATGGTCTTTGCAAAGTAGCACAACTTAATCGGATCTGAAGTAGAGCACCCCGACACAGATTCTCTATTTAGGTCTGGATTTTGGGTAATTTTTAGACATGCATGTCTAAAGCATTCCAATGTATCTGCATGTTTTGGTTTAGGGTATCCTAATGACTTGTGAGAAATTCCAAAATTACATCATGTTTCTTTCCTTCAGCAATAACTTTCATGCTGAAAGTCCAGATTAGTAGAGGGCATAACAATTTTTAAAAAAATCTTCTACAATTGAGTTTTTGATCTGATCAGCTCCTTCATTTACCACAAACGTCATGCCTACTTTTCAGGTTGATCCTGACTTCAGGATAGTCATGTCTTGGCAGGTTTGCAGTGTTGTGACATTTTCTATTTTTAGATCGCAGATTGAACAGCTCTCTGTGAGATCCTCACAGCGATGGACGGTTTTGTATCAGCAAGTTTATTGATATGTTCTTTGGGCTTTATATTGCTGTTTGTTCCCTTATGTTCTTTAACAAATTGCCTTCAAAAAAACACCTCGATTTATTCATACAAATTGACAGTGGTTTCAATTGGTTGCCCTGGATTTTCTTAAGGAACATCAGAGTAAAGGATCTGCAAGAAAAACATTTCAGAATTGTAAAATATCTTGAAAGCCGTGCATCTCTCGTCAACCTTTTCACAATTACTTTGTGTTATGCCACAAAGATCCCAATAAATCTATTGTGGTTTGTGACAAAATGTGAAAAAGTATAAGGATTTTGGATAGTTTGCCACTGTGTAAGTTTAGCAGGCGACATGATGTGAAATGTAAGAAAGTTCACCTTCCCTAAAATAGCTGTGAACAGGAATTTAACTTGTGAAATTGCTGCAGATATGAAAAGCTTGGTCTTTATTTGAATTTAGTATTTTTTTATTGCTTGTTGTTTCCATATTCTTTAGCATTTGCCACTTTTTAAAAACAAAAATCTGTCATCTTTAGCCAGCACTGGCCACTTTATGCCATTCTGTCTTACCAAGAGCAGCAAAAGAACTAAGAACACATTTAAATCGCTGCGTAATCTCAAGCTTCTTGAATGAGCAGGCAGAATCCAGAGACAAGTCTTATGTTAAACATATGGTACAAGGGCATATATAAGCCAATAATTGTTTGCCATGAAGCTGTTTTATCAGTACCATTAGGCAGTACGCTACATGATGATATCCTGTTCTCCTGTGACTCTGACTGCTCTTCTCGTCGTTTGTCGATTCTTATCAGGAAGCCGGGTTTAACGCTTCATTTATCAGGACAGGAAGCTGCAGGTTTAATCATTACATTGCTCTCACTGTGTAACATGGTGCCTTGTAACACGTCTTAGACAAGTAGGAGATGTTTTAAATATTTAACGCTTTTCCTCAGGTAACGGCTTTCTCAGGCTCTGTTGTGTTTAAGGTGTGTAACCCTTATTAATGCTTTCAAACAGCAAGAAACATTATAATGTAATGTATATGTGGACGGCTGTAACTGAAATCCTAAGTGTTCATATAGCTTTTAATCAATTAAATGATAAATAATTCTGATTTTGTAAGTCAGTAACTTAGCTGACCTGGATTCCCAGCCTAAATGGTAAAATATTTTCTTGTCATATTTCTCTGATGTCATGTTTATGTATGTTTTTCACTATGTTGCTACAAGCTGCTCATTTGTCCCGTTCCTGTGTAGATCGTGGAACATCAGTTGTTGCAATATAAGCTTTTTTAATATGTTTTTTTTTGGGAACTAAAGATGAAACAGATATTAGTCATCTGATTCTGGATCGGAGCTTCAGACGAATGCGTTCGTCTGACATCTCCAATAGATACCCAAGAATACCTCCTCTGTTTCCCCCACCCCAAAATAAAATAAGACAAATACTGTGAACAAGTGCCAACTTCATTTGTGCTTCACATATTCAGGCATTTAAAAATTGACATAATTTAAGGACTCCTTAATAACAGGATTTTTAGTATACTTTATTTGTGTTAGTCTTTTAAAAAATGTTAGTGAATACTTGTTCCTTTTTGAAGCTGAAATAAAATATGACATTGAAATTTAAGACCAAGACGTGACCCACTCCTCTCTCTATCAATGTGTGAATTGACCTTTTTTGAAATGTTGTATATTAATGCTTTGTGCCTTTGACCCGTAAAGTGGTGCTAACCTGACTTGAGCCTTCAGCTTGCAGCTTCGGCACTGACCTTGATGTGTTTTGTTTTGTCCTTTGACATCTTGTCAAGAAAACATGGCCACATATTTATAGCAGCTCTCACTTAGCATCTGTGCCAGGCTCATCTTTGGCACCGTTTCTGTCTTATGATTAGACTGACTGCTCTGGCTATTTTTGCTTTTGATTCTTTGAGCTCAGTGTGTGCCTGTGCTGTTTAATGTTTATATATATATGTGTTGGGATGTGACTAAAAGGCTGCATTCATTCTAATGTAATTTTGTATTAATGTATTAAAAGAATTATGAGACCATCGTTTTTGTTTGCACTTAATCCTGAATTATTTTTTGTTCACTAGAAGTACGTTGTTTGTTTCACAGGTGCATCTTAAAAACATATTAGAAAAAACAATGCTAATGTATTTAAATGATTTAATACTAAAATTATATATGTTGGTTTTTGTTCAGATGATTTTTAGGGTTATGGGTAAAAGAAGAAAACTTAAATTCTGCATATCGGAAAATTCGATTAAATGTTTCAATGAAAATTATGTCCTGGCAGACATGGTGCATTTTAATAAATTAGAATATTATTCAAAAGTTAATGTATTTCTGTGTTATATACAGTCATACATGCTTAAACTGATTTATGCTTTATGTTTAAATGTATTGTCTTAGTATTATCCTGCTTTTGTTGACAACTTTGCTTGTGCTTTGTTGTAATACAAGGAACAAATATTTATTGCATCATATGATGGTGCCATGCTGGAATTGACTGAGCTCCCAAGAGTGACTTGTTCTTTTACAAAAAGGATTGAGCTGTCTGGATTAAGCATGTAGGGCATAACTGTGACGAACATGATCACAGTTCTCTAATATATAATCTTAAATTTGTGTAATACCTTCCAAGAAACTGTTTTTTGAGTTTTTCTTTGCTGCCAGCCATAATTTTAAAAAGGCCCAAAAGATGAACACTTGAAATGCATCCACTTACCTGTAAAGACCCACTGTTTGATTTGAATTACAGAAATAAATTTACCCTCTGATGATGTAATTTACTGAGATCCACCTGCAAACTTCGCAGCTTGTAAATGCATAGTCGCAAACAAAAGACATCATCTAGGTCCAAACACTGACCCCTGATGGACCTCACGAGGCACGTTCTAAATTGTGACGCTGCTTTAAATTACCGTCACATAAGCATGTAAATACAAAAACCGATCAGTGGTTAAATCAGCCAGCTGTCCTTGCAATCACTGAGACACTAACCACCTATAACCTCTCCTGTGTCTGCAAGACATGAAAAATAATGAGCCAGTTGGTCCCACATTGAAAGAAACGCCCTTGAGGGACATCTCCAACTTTTCTTTTTTTTTCTTTTTTATACCAGACTCATCATAGGGCAATAATGACAAGGTGATGAAACAATAATGCAGGTTATTTGGAGACTTTGTTGAGATCAATAAATCATCTGGTGGTTCATGATGTGAGGCCAGAGAGCAAGTGATATAAAAGTGCATGACCAGACACCAAGAATTAAGGGTGGAAAGCGGTGGGGGATAAACTCAGAGGCTGTGGAAACAATATTTCTTAGTTACGTCATTAAACTCGGTTGTTCAAAAGTCGGTTCAAGCAGTCTGGCATCTCCATTTCTCAAAGCTGTAGTCAATCTTTCATATATTTGGGGAATTTATTCCATTTTGCAGTGCTGGGATATGGTTTAGAACTAGTTCACTTTATCTGCAGATGCCTCATCTGTCTTCAGAATTGATCTTGACTTGCAGCCTGTGTGGGGAGGACATACATTCATTGATTAGCTGTCCGTGTGCTGCTGGGATCGATATTATTTGTTGGTGTGCTTTCTGCAGTCGCATTGTTTGCTTCTGTCCATCTTTTCAGAGGCAGAGCAAATAATTTATGTAGGATCAAAGTTGCTCAGAGAAAGAGAGAGAGAGAGAGAGAGAGAGAGAGATAGGCTTTTGCCTTCACTAATTAAAGATTGTGACGTCCGCTAAGTTTTTCTAAATATCTCACAGATTCAGTGCAAAACATGATTAATAAGTTATATTTGTTTACAGTAGATGTATTTTGGGGGAATTGTTACACTTTTAAAGATTACCACTCCAGCTTGTTGAATTTCCCAAACCAACCAGAGATTTGAAGAAAAAAAATAAATAAATAAGTGTTGATGTGACCAGACCTTGCAGAGCTGCAGTTGTCCAGCAGGGCGCAGTGCAGCTTCACTCTTAATTCCTTGGCTGCCATGTAAGTGGACCGCAGCCCAGATGTTGTCCACACACACACACTTGCACACGCACACAGATGCTTTCGCCAAACAGGACACATAACTGGCAGAGCCCTTCCTCTCTTCCCTCTCCACCTGTGAGCCCACCTGCATGTCCATCTGCAACACAGAGATGCCAGTTGTTCTGGTTAGGAGCCACTGTGTCTCAAGTACCTGTCCGCGTCCTCAATAAAAGACTTCTGTCTGAGAGCATCTTCAGTCTGACGCGCATGATGAAGCAGGCATGTCGTACAGAGAAACGGGGAGTTGAAAAGGTAAACTTAACGTTGCTGAGTCACAAGAAGAAAATGGCTGGTGTATCTATGTGCTTAAGGTCACTGCTGCGCTAAAATGTAAATAAGAAATCAAAGAAAAAGCCTTTTGGAGTCTGTTTCTGAAGTGTAACTAAATTGAGCTGGAGTTGAGAAAAAAACACAACCAAATATAAGCTAATTATTTATCTATTAGTAGAACTTTACTTTTAGGCAAACCTAAGAGTCGACGACAAACAAGGACGAATATGCTCCGATTTTAAGGGGGAGGGGAGGAATCCAGCTTCTTCAAATTAAATGCAGACAGGGCATTTACCATGAAACACCACAGGGGAAATAAAACCTCTCTGCACCATCTTGTGTGAAGAAAGAATCTTTGTCCTTAACCCAAGATTTTCCCCCCGTAACTGGAATGACCTCGCATCTGGCGTTGCCATGGCTCGTCTGACAGGAATGCGTCTGTCCTCGGTAGGTAACAAATGAACCCAGCACTCCAGAGACTCGTCTCACAACTGTTTATCTTTTTCACCTGTCTGTTCGGTGCACTGCATCACGCTGACACTCCTGCGCAGCCTTTGTGGATTGCAGAGCACATGGCCCTGCCATTAGGGCGGCGTCCACGGAGGAGAATGTTCCAACTTTTAGACCGGGGTTTCGCAGATTCCTCTACAATTACCCGAACTCCTGGAATTTAAAAGATCTTAAAAATAAATCCTTCTTTTATTGCTGCGGCATTATCTGACACTTTGAGAAAGAAAAATTACAGTCATCATCTAAATATTATTCAACTCATGTCACAGATCTTCTCTAAGGACTGAGATGGTCATGGGAGACATTTCGGTGTTTTTGGTTTAGGTGATGAGGCCCATGATAACGTTGATGATTACTAGTTAAGTATTCACATTTTTATTTATTCTTCAAAATTGTATTTTTGAAGAAATTTATGTACCAGTTTTGCAGCATTACATACCGTCCGCCATACTTATCAATGGAAATAAGCAAACCGGCTTGGAGTGTTTGTGGGCAAAAAGCCTCGCTGGATTCTCATCCGCTTGAAGCAGAAAGCTTCAGTAACAGTCTTCGTAGACATTGTTTGAAAAAGAAGCCTCTCAAACTACTGCTAGGTGTAAATGTACCATCTAAGGCTTGTTATAAATACTTAGTGGCTCTAGGGTGTCACTCTGTTGCAGTTCTCTGAGACGGTTCCATGTTTTTTGCCGTTTGTGGATAATGGCTTTCACTGCAGTTCACTGGCGTCCCAAAGCCTCAGCCTTAGACTTTGTGGCCCTTTTCAAACTTTTAATGTTTGATGACTGTTTCTCTTTGGTTCTCAAATTTCCTTAGCTTTTTTGAGACCTCACAGCCCAGGACATGTTGCCAGATATGACAGATAAGCTCTGTATAAGTGATTTTATCTCAGGAAATAATCGGGTCAGGGGTTGCAAGTAAAACTCAATAAAGCTTTCGAGAAAAAAAACAAAAAAATGTTGGTCAATCACAGTTAACTCATGATTAAAGAGGGGGCTATTAAAGAGGCACAGTAGTTCATGTTGCCTTTGAAGCATTTTATTTTTTTCTTGATAAACAAATCAGCAAATAGAAAGTGCTATTTATTTTTACTATGGGTATATTTGTCCAACAATACAATTTGTCTGATGAGATGTAAACTTTAATGTGACAAAAGAGCAAAAATGGAAGAAATTTGCGAGAGAAACAATAGTCTTGAAAAGCATTGTTAATACATTTCTTGCTGTAAGAGAAATTGATGCTCCAATTTCTTTGAATTATAAAATCAGCGTTCAATTTCATAAATATTATAATACGATCCTGGCCATCAGTCAGCGCTATTCCTGAGGACCAGAAGGTGAGACTGATGTGATCTTGAAAGGCTGGTGAAGGCACACAAACATAGGGTGGTAATTCTGCTTTACTGTTGTTGGAAACAGCAGCAGTAAAGCTGTCCAAGATCTACAGTTTACAGTAATGTGTTGTAGTATATTATAATGTAATGAAATCAGAGGAAACTGCAACAGAAGAGAATTCATTCCCAGAAAGTGCAAGTGCAGACTTTGTGAAGGCAGCATGCGGGATGCTCCCTATGTGGCCCGGAAAAGGTAAGAGGTTGAACTAAATTTTAGCCACCTGAGAGCAGATGCATAATTGAAACACGGTGTCGCCGCTGCAGCCTCGCACAAGACTGTTTGATGGATACCGTTTTAGAATACTCCTGTCCGCCTGTCCTCGTGGGGTTTACCTGGGGACAAACCTGGAGAGTGGGAAAGGTGCCTGGGCGGCTCATCTGGGTTTTAGGAGGAAAATTGGTGCTATCCATCAAACACTGCGTTTAACAAATGCTAACGTAGGCCTGGCCAACAAAGGATTCGGATAACTGGGAAACATGTTAGGTGCAGGGAATGCTGAGGGTCTATCAATCAGCCAGTCAGTTCCTTTATTTAACAAGCGAGGGCCACAGACCCCGAGGGCCACACTTCATATTCTAGCTGGTTGGCCATGCAGTTTTGCCTTGTAAAAAGAAGGGAAAAAAGGGGTGGGGGAAGAGAGGGAAGGATGAGGGGTACATAAGGTGTGAGTGTGATGGAGGTGTAGGAAGGTTTGGCCTGTGTCCCCCGCTGCGCTGGCGTGCTTCATCTTCTCAGTGCACGGGCCTGGAACTGTTGCTTGATGGGATTTTCAGCCCTGTGGCCTCCGCTGTCCCAGCATCCATCTGGAGGGCTGCCGTGTGCACAGCGGAGAGCCAGC